TCTACACTATCTATTCTATGTACACTCTAAGCATTTCTATGGTAGACCAACAAGTGTCGCTAGCGATGCAAACTAATTATACATGTCTAAGAACTAGTATGTATCGTATTATGAGTCGATACGCATGGATAGCGGAGGCCAGAACGAAACAGTTTTTTGAGCAGAGTTGTCAAGGATCAATGGAAGCATCCTAGCGATACCGCTAGCAGCATGAGCAAGAAACCATGCCTATTAGCACTAAGTAGGTGGGCAGTGTCCGCACAGAACAACTCAGCGGACAGAAGAAAAGTCTTGTCTGTGTGATAGAACAGAGACAACAGCAGTAGTCTGGTTCGGGTCGTTCGATTGATGAGTGGCAAAGAGTAACGAGCGCTCATGGGAAGGAGCTAGCTGTCCGCCCGCCATAAGATCGGTTTGTGAGTGCTGTAGCACAACTAAGTTACCATGTGTAGGGAACGGTGCATTGATAGGAGTCGACAGGAATCAATAAGAGCTAAACAATAGGTTGCGACGCAATATGCTGCCGTACTGCGAAGCAACTGTAAGCTAACTAAAGGATGGTGAGAGGCTGTCTAAGTAACAGGTGCATATGTTGGCAGGTAGTGAATAAAAAGGGAAGGGGTCGTTACTGCAAAAATTGAAGCGACTAATGAAAAAAGGGGAAGGGATGAAAATTGCCGGTGCAATAGGCAGGCGCCGTACGTACAGTTTGCGTATGCAGCTGGCCCTGCTGCGACATCACTGTAATGAAACAACTCTGTCAGAAGGAAGCGCCATATATAATGTATACGTCAGAAAAGTACATATAGCGAAGATCCGACCAGCAACAATAATTGCGCACTGCAGATAATCTCATCCATGTAGACCTAATCAAAGCTGCGGATATTTTGTAAAGTCAACTTAGATTATTGTCAAAAAGAAGAGAAGAGCCAGCGTAATATCGGCGGATTAAATGCAACTAGCTGAACCTCATTGATTCCTGCAATTCTGTGCAGTACTAATGATTATAAGAATTAATTATAAGAGCACATAAATCCACTGCGGTCGAAAGCGTCAACGTGTGAATGTTTTGTTATATCGAAGGGTCTGAGTGCAGCAGCGAATCGCACAAAATACTGGTGTCGTCGCAAACTACGGAATAGCCTAGTCAAAAGAGATTGAATTGTGGGTGTTCTACGGTAGAGTTTAGATGAATAGACAGCCAATTACTTATCCAGTATAATATGGGACAGAATGCAATGTGTTATCGGGTTCTGTTGCTTTTTCGACCTAAAGAAACATCTTTCGTGTTTCATGTTTAGTACTTGAGCCGTTATCGATTGCCTCCGACAATTGAGTCCCAGAACGAAATATCTATGTCCGGATTCGAACCTAGTGCACTACATGTCTCTAAGTTTGGCAAACAAAGACGCGCTGTCACGGGAGTCTGTTTCGACCAGATCAGATCCAGGCCTACATAAACTATAGGCCACAGCAGCAGCTGTTAGTTGACATGATGTAAAAGTTCATGATATTACGCATTAGTCGGTGGCGCCACATCATCGAAATACAATTTGAAAGAAAGGAGCAGTTTTCCTGATCGACAAAAATAAAGAAAAACCATGGACCCAACACATGGCGACAAAGAACAAGTGCGAGAACGCGAAAAGCATTCAAGTCTCGTTGATTGTTCTCATTTACGCGACTGTCGTTAAAGGAGCGGCATAAATAGGAGGTATGTCGGCGGATTCGGCGAGCAACAATTGTGTGCAGGGTACCATCGCCTGTTTTTAACGGAGTTAGTCCGGATTATCGGTGGACTTTTGGCTACAGTGGTGGCTTTGCGCAATAGCCGTAGTGGCCGAAGGCATCAAAGAAGAACTAAGCACGAATAGAAAGACAGAAGATAGAACTAATAACTCGTAGAAGCGCTGCGCGCGCACGAACAAAACCATCGGCGTTGATTTTCACTTGTTAGTGAGACGTTTATCCAACATGATCTAGGATACTATGCTGTACGCTTGCATTTCTTAAAAGTATTAAACGTCAACAAATGGCAAAAAGATGACAGCACACAGCGACGTGCACACGTTATTGTGTCGGTCTAGCGTGCGGCTCTGAACTCGATCATTGTAGCGATAGCTTACGTCTGTAACCATTCGAGCGCCTCCGTCATATGTGAATACTACGCTTTAAGAAAAGAGTTCGAATTCGAATAAATATAAGGGCTTGAGTTGAAACGCGGCGAAACCAGCATCATTAACTATCAAATAAAGCTCCTCCATTTAATATAGTCCGTAGTGGCTCCTTAGTTGGGCAATCGAACAGACGTACACATTGGACGCCCAACAAAACAAAAATAGCTACGATTTCGTTTCCCTCCCAGACTATGTTTTTGCTCCGACGTTCCCTGATTATTCTAGACAGCAGCTTGGGTCTAATCTGTATGTGCACGTATCATAAAGTTCGCGCGTAATTAATAACGCGGCTAGCAGGAACAAAGTGCAACATAAACAGGCCGAGCTACAGTGACAAAGGCTAAGCGACAAATTACCGCCAGTAAAGCAGACGTCACATGATAGACAACCACCAATCGTGCTAAGCTGCTCTTACCCTAGTCGCGCATCTGAATCGCGAATGAGTATCGTTGATGTTGTTGTTCAAGCAAGCTAGAGTTTTGTCGAATATTATAGACCAGCACTTTTATTGTTGAGCAAAACAACCGCCTTTAGTGTTTATTGACAGGAAAAGTGCAAAAAAGTGCGAATTACAAATAGTTCATCGAGTTCGTTGGTGTGGCCGATTGTGGTGCCTATCGAAACGTCAAACCGCTATTGCTGATTCCCGCTTCGGACAGGCCAGTCTAGTTAACCAATCGGAAAAATACAACAGTTTCAAGGGTAAAGGTTACCTCTCGTGCTCTTTGTTCAACCAATAGAAGGTTGTGTAACCTAGTCGTTACGGAAGTGTTTGTTCTTGCAGTGGTCTTCAGTCGTTTGTGAAGAGCTATATTAGTGTTCAGCGGTAAAGAGCAAAAGCTCCAGTTTTGCTATTTTGGGTACTTTCGATATTTCAATATACAGTAGCAGTAGTTGGGCAGAAAAGTCTGTAACCCGCACCTGTTGAGTTGGTTCGTAAGTCGCTGGGTAGGGTTTTATAGAGGTTTTCGGCTTTCCTGTTCGAGAAACACAGCGAGTGCCAAAATGACAGTTGTCGGGGGTTCCCAAGACCTGTTCTACCCAAGCGCGGTCTCGAGCTACTTCCGGTAAGATATGGCTGAAGATACCGTTTTTGATTATTTCGAATATTCAATTAATGAATGTACATTGCGCAACCTATGTCTTTGTAAATATCGTAATTATGTACGATGTAAAATCAGCTGTCGCACACGTAGAAATAGCGTATACATATTGTTCTCGGGAACTGTTGTTTCGAATGTATTTATTACATAGCTCCGATGCAAAAAGATTAGTGGCAAACAATGCACAGGAAATTATTTTGCAGTTACCCGCGTTTGAGTTGTCGCAGGTGTATATGCGTTCAAATGCTTGAGTAAAGAATGTTTAAAAGTAATTCTTATCCAACAATTCATTTGCAGTTCTTATATCGTCTGTTAATTATCATAAATCTTCATGAAACGATATTAGTTCAGTATGTGTGTGCTAATGCTTAATCTGCAATTGATTGTTCATATACAAGGTCGGACTTAGTACCTTACCCCGTTCGCATAGAAGCTTCGAAAGATGTATTTGATTTGTAGAACAACAGAACCTTACTGCCACTTTTAAGAATTTCATGTACCATTTCACTCGTAAAATGTTCATTAAAACGTTCAGTTTTAAGAAGAGCCAACGTAAAATATATCAAGCGCCTTCTGAAACCATCGCCTATATAATTTAGTTCAATATACTTTAATATTAGTAATTACATATATAGATATATGTGAAATGGAATGGGTGCCATATGTTTGTGGCTCCGATTTAAGGCGCTTTTTCATATATCGCGTGATATTATCTAAACTAACTTGTGGATAAAAGTGCTACGTAAAAACTACTAGTGAAAATATGTTCATTCTAGTATTATGGGACGTGGCCGAAATATTAACTTTTATATGTGTCTTTTCCTAATTATAAATATCAGATATAAAATAATACACAGTGTAGTGTGTTCAGCTGTGTATGGCTGTTCTCGTTATTGGTACAAACAATTCGCACAGATGGCATCTTGTGACCTGAATCATTTTGTCCTAGTTCATGGAAGTATAGTTATGAAGGATAAGGGATCCCATGTTTTATGTTTCCGTCTGGCACTCTCCGTGAGAGGGGTCTATATGTATAGGCACTCCATTTATTTTGGCCGTTATAAACTACTAACGCCTAAGAGAGATGAAACTAGCAACATTTGCTGGGAATAGATGATCGATATCCGTGTGCAGTGTCCGTAGTCGGTGCCGGTTGATTAACTGTCCTTGGGAAGACTTTCGCGAGAAGGGTGTATTCGATGTCAAGCATAACTTAAGAAAGATGGTATTTTGTGTAGAAGTATAGTTATGTTTTCACTAACATTAAAAAGCTTGTCTGCGTGACCATTTTTTCAGCTAATGAAAAAGCGAAACAGTAGATAAACAAACTGTACGAATTATACTTACGTTGCTATAGACCTCTAACAAAGCTGCATCTTTATGCATTCAGGACAAGGGTATTGAATCGCACAACATTTTCTCAAGCGCTGAGGTCCTCATTATGCATGTTGTCAAATATCTTATTCATTAAAGTATTGAGAATCGTATATACGCGTAAGCATAATGATCGCGGTGTAATTATATATGTGGATAATATTATTGAATATCTATCTATATTTTTGTTCGTCATAATCGTTCCTAATTGAAAATAACTAACAGAGATGACTGTTGGCTTACACGGAGGAGACTTAGTTTGTCGATGTATTCACTCGTCTGTTCTGTGAATTCCTTGTAAATCAACCCTTCTCTTGTATGGTTCTTTTCTCGGAAAACTTTCCAGACCGTTTCCTTCCCGACCACCACCACGGCATCATGGATCGTACCTCGGCCAGCCCGACTATCGGATCTACGAGATGAACAAACGCCTGCAGCAAAGAACAGAGGTTTGTATGCCGGCCGTCACCGGAAATAAACAAAAAACCAGATTTAATATCCTTGTTAGAAATTCTGTGTTACGCTATCCTCAAAAAGATTGTGCGCTTACAGGGCCAGTGCTCTCTCCGATGCACAGTTATGCAAGCGCACAAGTATGCAGCTTATCGAGAAAGAAGTATTTTGCGGGCGTCTTTACGAAATAAAGACGACAGGCAAGTGAATGTTAACCTTCATAAGGTTGTTATAGTCGACAGTTGATAACTCTAAAGAAATCGTATGGTAACGCAATCGATATCCTGTCGCAGCATTTGTAATTGCTAAAAATAATATCACAACAAAAAGCTAAGTTGAATTATCTTTCCTTCTTTCTTCTATTTTATTATCGTAGTTGAATAGCTTGCATGATCGCATTGACAATTCCTCATAAATATACCAGTGTCTTGAGTGATCTGTCGTTACATTGTTTGAGCCATCGTGATAATCGGATGTTCATAGATGGGGAAACGAAGCCAGTTTTAAAATAATTTTGCTATTTTGTTTTTAATAATAATAATAATAAAACTTATTGAAAAATTATGGCATATGATTAATCAGTAAATAGGAGCTCAATAAAAAGTAAATTCAACCTTGTTTCGTGCAGTTTTTACAATCGTTTTTCTCCCAGCTAACCAAAATAATTATGTGGTAGGAATGGACAATGCGATTGTTCGTCAGCAAACATAAATTGATTCAAAAATCCTGTCGCCACACTTCGAACGTATTCGAACAAATCTCGATATTAGAGATGCGAATCAACATATCGGCATACTATTCTCATCAACTGTGAGTGCAGTAGGCGCATTGAAACCGTAACTGATAAGGAATGATCAGATTAATTGAGAAAGTTATCTGATTTTGGAAATCACAATAGAACATTGGGCTGCCATACGGATGTGAGAACAACTGAGAAATTTCACAGTCAATTCATCAGTATGGATCGAATAAATACGGTTACGATTTCTACGTCAAAAGTCATTTTCGTTGACCTGATCCCCACTCGACGAGAGAAACATTTTCAACTATTTCATTTCACTTCATTTTCATCAAACATTTTCATTTTATACTGAATTCAGTGGATCCCCAGCCGCTGGGACACTTTTCGGAATGTATGGACCGCAAATTATATTCGTCTTTATTAGTAAGGCGCCTTTATCAATCAACGAACCTTTGACGTTGAATTTAGCTCAAGTTAGGGCAGTCGCCATCAAGTATATAATTGACCCAGGCTGCTGCTGATTTGATATGAAGTCAACAAGACGTGTTGGGTTAATGTATAATTATGCTTCTGACTTAGTCTGTAATTAGAAAACAAATTAAACTAGCAACTAAGCTACTAATCAATTCTTTGTACTCACCTACTGTTTTTCAATTAAATTTGCAGGAAAGCGATAATTTGTGGTGGGACGCATTCGCAACTGAGTTTTTCGAAGATGACGCAACGTTAACGCTAACACTGTGCCTCGAAGATGGCCCGAAACGTTATACTGTAGGTCGAACGTTGATTCCTCGATATTTCCGATCGATCTTTGAGGGCGGTGTCTCCGAGCTCCAGTTCCAGCTTAAGCATGCCCGCGAGTCATTCCATCAGACGGCCATCTCCTTGGACTGTGATCAGGCTTTTATGCTAACTACGCACGGCAAGCCCGCCCAGCTCACGTATCCCGGTAAGTATCTCTCAATGTCGAATAGTTAGTCATTAGCGGCAGTTCTGCTTGGAAAATCGCGAATAGAACGAAAAATACCGCTAAAAATAGAATATATTTGTGAGCGTTCCGGACCTCGCTGATTCAAGTCCGTTAGTACGCATACATATACTACGTATGTTTTAGTAAAGACGGATATAGCAGATTACATTTGCATTTAATAGGCAATGATTACTCTGGTAGAAGGGCAAGTCTCTCGATTGAAGAGACGAACACATAGAAAAAGAAAACGGTTTTTTTAAACGGTTTATGACATATATTTGTTAGTTTTTGCAAGATTACAGTACTATTAGGCTCTGAGCTAGCACAAATTACTCAATGGATGTTTCTGCTTATTCAATCTTAGATACGCAGTTGATTTTGATGATATCGTCTATATGAAAAGTACACTACTAATGATAAGTGTGTACAGATTGATGTCAAATATTGTATTGGCTGTTTGAGCGCTAATGGGACCGTTCATGCAATAAGTCTATTATATCCCTTACGCAATAAGATTTATGCAGCAAGGTTTTTCAAGGAAAAGAGCACTTTACTGGATAAAAAGGCTCGAGTTTTTTACGATGATATGGCCGTCGTTACGTACCTTTTTTTAATGCTTGAGAACACTGTTGTCCGTTCGCCTTTTGTTTAGGTGGACGAGTGGACCCGTTAAAAGACCAGTCGTCGCGGGACAGCGCGGTGCTCGTGGCGACGGAGGGCCGGCTAATGGTCGAGTTCACATTCGACGACCTGATGCGAATCCGCAGCTGGCACTTCGCCACCAGGACGCACCGGGAGCTGGTGCCAAGGGCGCTCATCGCCCTGCATCAAGACCCTCAGGTACGCGTTTACACAGTCTGCTGGTTAAGTTGATCTCTAACAGGAAAATGATGTCACATGCTGAATTTGAATGTATGTGTGTGTGTTTGAGTGTATGGGTGTTGGCACTGAATTTACTACACATCAATAGCCTACACCGACCTGGTAAAAATACGCAGATAATATCTTTAAATTGTATTAAATTTAAATTGTATTATCCTTAAATTGCTGTAACTGAACTATCTTGGCAGATTAGGGTTACTAAATAAACCGCTCGAGAAGTGCCAGACCTCAGGGATCGCCCTATTATACCTCTATTCTGTACAGTACATTGGCGTGATACGGAAGCACCCATTTTAGTATAAAAAGACATCTACTAAAAAGAATTGTGTAGGTCTTTATAGGTACCTGAAACACTTTTACATGTTTTGCATACGCATAGCCATTGAAATTTTGTTGCAAGATCATGTTTTTAACATCTTTGGTTAAATAAATCAGATCTGCCATGACACTCAGTCTATACTCTTTCATTTATGCGCCAAGTGTATGAGTTATAGTACATCTAGCCTGATTCTGGGGCATCGTTTGACGCAGTTTTTGCAAAAGCACTTAGTTCGTGATATCCTTTCATTGTGCAGACCTCATGGTAAAAGCGGTATGCAGCGACGCTAGTAAGTGCGTGTCGATTTTTTTTTATAAACATCTTTACAATTGTTATTGGCTATTGTTATTACTATAAAGCACAGAAAATAGATGTTATGTCTGCGATCTTTCTTTCCTAATCTTTGATAATATTTTTAATACGCGCCTGCCTTTTTTCGAAGTCAACGTGTTTTCCAAATTTCCTATAAAATCAAGTGATGCATCCGTTAACAGCGATATCAGCCAGTTACGTTTAGCTGCATGAACACACAATGCGCTTTAGTGAACAGGGTTTACTGTAAACCGTTAATTATACAATCTATTCTTTTTTTTATCAATGTACTAAAAAACAAAGATTTATTTCGAAAAGTCCTTTTTAACAGATTAGTTTCCACCTGAAGCAGTATGCGAAGCTCCCTTGGAATTTTGTGAGCCTACAGTAAAGAGGGGCCTACTACACCATCTCTATAATGTCATTAAATGTTCATCAAAACGAATTTTTACTTAGACATAGTATACAATATCACTCGGTTAAACAATTTTATTGACTAGCTTCACTACTGTATTACACCTTTGCTGCATAATGTTTGCTTACATATTAAAGTGAATATATATATATATATATATATATATATATATATATATATATGTATATGTAGTTAATGCGACGCAATAAAATCGAGTAACGACACCCCTATTGAATTTAACTATTATGTTTTACAGTATGTGTATATATATATGTATGTATCTAGTATTCACCGTATGGAATTTTAATCCACCATCTTGAATAGGTGATGGACCAGATGTCGAAGAACTGCACGCGGCAGGGGCTAACCAACTCGACGCTCAACTACCTTCGCTTATGTGTTATACTCGAGCCAATGCAAGAGCTAATGAGTCGTCATAAGGCATACCAGCTTTCTCCGAAGGACTGTCTCAAAACGACGCTGTTTCATAAATGGCAGCGTATGTGTCAGCCCCCTGGTGAGTACCTTTGCCCTCGCTGGCCTTAATTTCCTTTCGTATTATACGTATTAAGGGAGCTCAAAATATCAGCGTCAACAGCGGAAAGTAGAGATTCGAGTGATGGGAGAAAACCTCGCGATTTACTATTGTACGCTTGCCCACAGTGATTATAAAATGGCGTATTTTGCCCGGAACTAATGCTCTGTACACCTGCGTACATTTCCATGTAAAAGATTATGAACGATATTTTGATTACTCATTCGTGAAATGTCTGGTTCTGTGTATGTCTGGGTGTATATGGACGTAATATTCAACAATACCAATCACTTACACTTGCTCTGGAACAGCCACGGGAAGGTGTTGTATTTAAATTTAAATGAAGTAGTTTAACACTTCTACCCCGTTTTTCATAAACAGTCTTGAAGATGGTTTCTTATTTATAAAATTTAAGCTTAGATCGTATGACGAGACATGTGTTTTCCACGTAAAATGTGTGTACGTACTATATGTATAGATAAGCATATATGCACTTATACTCTTATAGGTACCGATACTGTTATAAAGAGCGAGAGCTATAATACTTCTCGATAATTATCAGATTATTGAACTCGTTACATATACTATTTTTCAGTGCTTGGTATGTGTTTTTGCTTAAAACGCATTTGTTTTTCCTTTTACTTGCTAACTGAGTTGACAATTTTTGTTTTGTTCCTAGTGATTTCTTTTACACCGTAGAAGATGAAAAAATTATCCGCACTCCTCCGCAACGCATAGAGATCTGCGCCTCGATGAATGTTTCTTGTTGTTCACAACCTACTTGACATGCAAAATGCTTAGTAGTAGTGCTGGCCGTATGATCAATTTGCAAATGCTATATTTGCTCACTTATGAACGCGTTTTTCTGTGAGCCAATGCTAAACTACCAATTAGCTAGATCCAAAAATCCGAATTGCTTTTTCAACTTGCCTCCAGTTTCATTCATCTGTGATCTGTCGGTTATTTCGAAACCAAGGCTCGCCTGTAGCCCTTTCAATCTACGAGGTCGATAAAAATTTTCACGATTTATTGTCTTAAGATTTTATCTTTCTCCTTTATAACTGTTAAAAAAGCTACGAGCAAGATTTCTGGTTCAGTTCTACTTTTAAGAAAGCATTATACTTTCGCACGCAACGCATTTTACATCATCAATTTTTTTCAGTCATGGCAAAATTACTATCCGCGCAGTGTTTTAGTATCTGTGAGTTACTGAGTTGGGCCCTGTTGTTTATTCTGTGTTTCCTATTCCATTCACTATATTTCTATGAGCAGCGGTTTGGTCATATGAGTGTGATTATTGAACTATGAAAAATGCTCGGCCCCTTTCATATCGCGCTCCAGTTGTCTACTCAGTACAAAATCAGTGAAAATAAGCTTTTAACTAGGGGGTGAATCCTGGAGGCAAGCAATTGAATGTTTCGTCGCTGCCATCGCGCTTCTACTTCTAGTGCTGTCGCTCTCATTTTCTTAGTGACTAAATCTTGCGCGGGTCACCAATTTTTTTTTTCGCTTAGTCAACATTTTAGCTTATTAATTGATCGATTGCTGCTATATTGACACGATCGGCAAAAAGAACAAACATCGATTCGCAACTTCTAATAGATGCACTATTCTGTCTTTCTCTGTTTGTTGTGATCTGTGTTTTTGTCTGTTACCGCAGCTTCCCCGGCGAACCGGGGTGGTGCAATGCCCCCGAACGACATGAAAATGATGTCCACCCCAGATTTAGGTTTGTGTTCGTTCTCCTATCAACTACCTCACACAGAAACACGCATTCGCAGAATCGAGTATTTGCAGACGTCGAACTAGGCAAATTGTCGCACTTGAACACATCGGTCTAAACCGGCTACTCATCGGAGAGCCTGAACGGCTTTATAATACAAGCATACCTATACCAATATGTTAGAATAATAAAAGAAGCTGAATAGATTGTGCCACATAGTATCAGTCCTGCTATATGGAAACGTTATTTCCACAGAAAGAACGTTACACACTCAAGAGTTCCACTCAACATGACGTAGACGCACAAAAACAACACAGTTATATATCATTATCTGTCAGTTTGGTTCGGTTTTTCCATTTAATTTGCTTCTTATTTTAGTGTGATTACTACTCATACGTATTTCCAACAATGTCATTGTTGTTTTATTAACTGTGTATAATAGCTATCATTGAATCGTCACTTTATCAGAATTAATTGCCATTGTCGCTGCATTTTTACCAGTACGTTTACCAGTTTTATGCCTAGTGTTTGCTGTTACTATTCTCGAATCGTAATTACCCATGGCTTGGGGCTGTGTCTATCCATGAATTGGAACGATGAATGATCTGTTAATTAGCAATCCGCAATAACTTCAGCTTAGCTTGATTGGTTTGATGTATCAGTAATCCGATTTCGCGCTGATCTCTCTGATCGTTCCGCTTTCGCCCCTCACGCCGTCCCCCCTTCTCCCCGTTATCAACGCGAGAAATATCCAGAGCCATGCTTCGCTTTATCCCCGCTTTTGCGGCTAAATTGCCATTGTACTGCTCTCTTATTGTCATCGTTCGTTTTTATCATTTCCCTATCGCTCATAGCATCCTATATAGATCCGCCCTTGAAGCGTAAGCATTGTCAACTACAAAGCTGACATACACTTGACAGATTATCTTTACCTACCCCCAATTTTAATGTTTTCCCATCATGAGTTGATTAAACAACGCTCTATATAGCAGCTGAGCAAAACTAACGGCGTAATAATGAACAAGAATTACAAGCTGATACTGCTTTCCTGTACGGACAACAATACTGGCCAAAATCGAACAGTTTTTCAACGTAGTCAGAATAACTAACGAATGATTACTTTTTCCTTTTACAACCTTCTACTGTTGACACCGACTGTTACGTGGACGCGACGCGCGTATCTTAACGCACCCATCGTGCTCGTTCCATACGCACGTTACCGCGAATTGCAATCATCTACAATTGCAGAATCTCAACGTCCGGCTTCGAAGCGGCGCAAGCGAAAGCCCTCGACGGCGACGACGGGCGCCGGCAGCAAAAAGAAGAACATGAGTCCTGGGCCACAGCAGCCGTTTATGGCTGCACCCCCCGGCGGACCGGGCTCGCAGGGGTAATGATCTCTCAGCAATAGACGGAACAGGAAACAGAGAAACAAAGAGCACGAGACAACAATGTGTTCGATGTGTTGTGCTCGTGACCATGTAAATGTTAGAATGCACGCCACTCGAGTGATGTTCAAATGTGATGATGCAGGGTGCAGGGTGTGTCTGTCTCTGTGTGTGTCTGCCTGCGTGAGTATGAGTACGACGCTGGGTCTAATGTGCGCCATGAGTTCCAGGTGCTCCAGAAACACCGTGAGCAGACGAACAAAGTGTACTTGTTAAGAGACGTAACTGATTTTTTCGAGGGACAAGAAAGAAGCAAGGATGAGGCTGGGGTGGTGGGTTATCTGGGCGGGCGAGTGCTAGTTTGGCGTATTGAATGACTATGTTGAAAAGTAAGATGCTGTATTGTTTTTGTTTGGTTTCGTAATTGTTTTTTTGTTTTTGCTCTGGAATGAATCGGGACACATTTATCGTTAAGCTTTTTTTTGAATGAGGTTTTCTCAATGAGGATCTAATGTATTGTGTGTATGTAGATATGTTCAATAGCACATGTACTTTGTTGATTCGTGGAAGAATTTAGCTGGTGTCGAGAATAAATTGAGTGCTATGGAAAAAATATCACAAGCATAACTCGATTTGTATTGAACAAAAGAGATCGCTAGACACATGCACCTTGACATATTTTAATGCCTAAAGAAGGATTAAAGAACGACGAAGAAGTCTTAATAATTGATTCTCGTAGCCCGATTTTGTCGGATAGCGAGACCTAAAAGCCGCGCGTGCGAATCACTGGCCGGTATCACTCGCTTATCTACCCCTCCAAAAGCTGTGGCGGTGCCAACGAAAAATAGCAATACTATGTAATAACGCTCATTTGCAATAAAACACTTGATTATGGTACCTTATGTGTAGCATCTGACTAAACATCTTATCGAATCTCAATTGACGTATTGAATATTAGGCTACTTTCAGTGACGCTTTCACACTTTGCATGACTTCTACACAAGTATGTTTCTCTCTCGGGTACAGTGTAGATATGATAGGTTCTCATCAACAGCTAGTTCCCTTTCGATATCCAATCAACACTAACAGGAAGACCTTCGTATCTGCGTTTTTTATCGTTCCTTCCTGCCATTTCCCCATGATCACCATCATCATCGTCTGCTAACTCTTCTCTTACCAACCCGTCAGGTATCCGACTCCACCACCGCCGCAATTTCTGCGCGAGCAAGACGTGATGGTCGTTGGCGAGCCGTCATTAATGGGAGGCGAATTCGGGGACGAGGATGAGCGGCTAATCACACGGCTGGAGAATACACAGTACGACGCCAGTGCTGCTCAACCGCCACCTGGTGGCAATAACGGCGCACTGGGAGGTCCCGTTGGCATGGGCGATCCGGACAATCCCGAGCCAGACTTCACCGGCTGGAACAGTAACCCGGACAGAGCTAGCGCAGGGCCGGGAGGTCCGCCCGATGAGAAGAAGAGCCCCCCTCAAAACTCCTAGGCTTACCGGACTCATGTAAATAGTTAGGCAGCGACAGAACCAGAAGGCGAGAGGGAAAGGAAAGCGCAAGAGAGAAGGAGCAGACGATAAGAGTGAAAACAACATCAACAATAACAACAAATACTTCTTCAATTCTGACACGAACACACAGATACGGGCAGAAGAACACAGCAAAAGATGGCGCCGCTTTACCGAAGGAAGACGGGAAGTGCGCAGTCGAAATAAGGAACTGAGATATAAAGTGACAAGTGCATAAGCCAGAGCTAAAGATAGAATAAAAACAGCAAGCATGCTGTGATAAATTTGCAATGCAATTAATGAGAAATAGGAAATTAAGGTAGAGATTTGAAACAAGGGCTTGAGCGCGTTGAGATTTGATGCGTATGCTTCTGGGAAGCAACAAACATTGGTGACGTCAAAATCATGTGAGGATCACCGTTAGCAGCTAAAGTAATATAACAATAACTAGAGATTAGGTAACTCGCGATGCGTTGGTGTAGGTGTGTGTAAACTAGCGCAACTAGAAATGACACAATTGTTTATATTGCTCTCGCATCGTTGCCTGCTGGCCAAGCAGGAGTGCTGCCAGCCGCCTTCCCAGAAATACGATAATCGTAAAGAAAGTGGCTCATATTTTATGCTGTTTTTAGCACGGTAACATTGGATAAAGTTATGATCAGAGGGACTGATTATATTTAATGTGCAAGCACGAAACCTCAGAGTCACCCTTGTTGTATAAGCGAGAAATGTAAATTTAGGTTTGAATCATGGGTGAATAGTTGTTGTGAAAACAAATTCACACAAGGACGTATCATTTCTATTGTGTAACAGAAGAGAAGGAGAAAATTGCAGATGATACCCTTCGTCGCGCCCACACATGCACATACACACACAAACATTCAAATTAACATATAGAGAGCGATAGCTTCAAGACAAGCCAATACGCGAATAGATTAGATCTCGTACAGCTGAAACAGATTATTAAATATGCGTATGGCCGATGACAGAATAGCTAAACGCTGTGTGATTACGGCGTAACAGTACACCACAATACCATTATGTATCAATAAACGAACAGCAATTTGTCAACGGTAACATTAAGTCGGTCGGTATGCCAATGCTATGACAAATTACATAAACACATTTAAGCACACAAATACCAATATATATACACACACACACACACCCAAACATAAATATATACGGAGACACGCACACAAATCGAAGCACCTAGTCTCAACTCGAGAGACGACAAACAGAGAAGATTCAAAACGCTTGGATTGGCGCAAGACCGACGCTCCTTCGATGACGAGAGAACAGTAATGGCCATAAAACACGAATATTTCCAGTGTATTATACAACATTTTCTGCTTTCAATTCTTATGAAGACACTTCGATGGGAAATCGAAAAGATAACACAAAAGAGGGAAGGAGAGCGACTGAGACCGGACTATATACGTGTGAGATAGTAGGAAACGGAATCGGGAGAAGTGACGCAATAGAATTTTTCAATTTTCGAAGCAAACGTGAATGTTTGAAGATAAACATTTGTGCAGCGTGTGATGTGTGTAGGGCTTGAGAATGTGCGAGTATCTGTGAGCGCAATTGATGAGTATGCGAAAAAGTCAGGTTTGTGTATGAATAGGTAAACAGTTCTTGTTTCAAATTATTCTCAGATATGCACCTGTTAGTTGGTGTCATTTGTCTGGGTGTTTTTTTTTATCTGTTCTCGGTTTTATTTTTGGGATAACGTCATTCCTGCGTGCATATTGTTGCTAACGTTCATGATATTTTTTTAATAACCGAAACATTCGATTTTGTTTGTGCGCTCGTCGGTGTTTCATGGTTGTCCTAAGTACGTTAGAAGTCATTTAACGGGCTTTAGCAGTTTCTCATTGCACTCAGGAGTGCCCAGCTTCTCTCGGTCCGTAAATATATAATAAGGATTATTTCGATTAGACAAAGAGGAGAAATTGCTAGATTACTGTCGTATCGTAAAGGTAATGATTAGTATACAATTATGATTATTCTTATACATTTTCCATAAACCCATTTCTCTCTTTATATATATATATATATATAAAGGTAAACAGATTCCCTTCTGCTTTAGGTTTCAATTCTGTGCGTCCAGCGCGAGAACAGTGTGTCGTCAGTAGACTGAGAGACAAACTTGTACGTCAGACGTTAACTGGGGACAACTGCATGCGAAGTGATGATATGATGCATGAGGCGATGCTCTTTATCTGTATTACCTGCGACTATAATGATGCTCTGATCATATAATTATTAAACAATTGTAGCAATTTTCCTATTTTTTTTGCTATAATTCTCATTGACAAATTAATGGTGACGATGTTCAGTAGTAGCACCATTAATAGTATAAAATGATTGTATCATTATATTTTATATTCGTTTTATTTATTTAACCTACACACTCAAGGGGCTAGTGTCTTTGGGCCAAAGCTTCAGCGAGGGCTGGACGGCTGGGGAGCAGATATGCGCAATACAGTATCCATTATACGTTGAGGTTGAGTAGAAAGCAGGTGATGTAAAAATAAACAATACAGCTCACACACACAACATGCTACCAAACACAATAACTAAGTTAGAGAAAATGAATTTCGTAAAACTGAAACGTGGAAAGGGAACACGGCAGAAAAACTAGTGGGAATATATATATATATATATATATATATATATACATAGGTTTGCTTCTGTCAGGAAGGGGGCAGAAGGAAAACAGGGAACTTGTGTTCACTTATCTTAACTGTGTGTGGCGATGTGCACACAGTCGCTGCAGTAATGGCAACCAACCAACAACAAAACAAATAACAATAACGTAATAGCCAACATCAACAAAAAAAAACAGTGACAACAACAGCTTCGAATGTACTTATTAGTAATTTACTACCAACGAAAAAATGAGAGAAGCAACGACGAATCTAAAGGAAAGAGTAGCGAGACTGAAAAAAAAAAGAGAAAAATACAGAGAATGAAATGAGAAAGAAAAAGAAAATGATAGCGATGATAATTAACCAGTCAAAATAAACTCTATGATATCAAACTGATCGGTGTTTTTATGGTTGTAATTTATTTGAATTTATGTATTGGTATAACTTACCGGTTAATCTATCGTCATACGCGAGCACAGTGATCAAAATGGTGGAATTGCGTTCGTTAATGTTCACAGTGCAAAGCAAACACACAAAAAAATCCTTTGCGTTTTATATAAGGCGCTAAAGACGTGCATACGGATCATCTTGACTGTATACAGATGAGCTATACCTACAACCAACTAAAAACGGAAAAATTAAAACTATGGAAGGACAAACTGGACAGAAATTGGAGGTGTCATAAAGTGCGTTTTCTTGAACCGGTCATTTGGCTGTTAGCCTGCATAGAGACTTTTAAGCGACGAAAATGTGATTTACACAGAAAAATAATTAAAGGCTAGTCATACTCTGAACTTTATACTTTTGAACCTAAGTAGCAACAAGATATACAAAAGGAAAGCAATTTATTTCGCTGAGGATTTAACATAGTATATACAATGCATAATATACACAGAAATTAGAAGCATTTATCGATTTGTCTAAGCAACAGAAATTCCTAACCGAGTTATATGCATTCATTGATTCTTATTCTTAGTTCGTCAATATTATCAAGAATCAGAACACGGGTCCTTTTATTTATTTGCCCTTCAACGTAATATTTCACTAGTCGCTTTCGCTAGAGTCATCTTCATGGGTCCAATCAAATGTGGCGAATTCCTTCTTGAACGTGACTGTCATTTCAATTTCTTGTTCCTCTGACAAAGCGCACTCTTTCCAGTCTGATCGTTCCGGCAGATCGAGCAGATCACTGCAGCAGACCACTTCACGGCCAAAATTCAGTGGGAAGTTTCGTCTGATAAGTGCGAGCATTTTGGTTTTGCCGAACTCGGTGAAGAAGTATGCCTGATCCTTGGTACCAATCACCTGTGCTAAGTCCGTATTCAGAGGAATTTCCTCCATTTTAACGCCTACTGATGAGCCGTAATCGACAAAGGCCGCTTTGACATTATCCTCTGGGATCTTGCGGCTGATCGGCACTACCTGTAACTGCATGTGCGAACATCGGAAGTTTCTTTCGAAGTACACTGCATACATGTCTTTCACTTCGAAGAAGCGATTCAGCGAAGTTTTATATTTGGCTAGTTCAATCCTCGTGTCAAGGTCGAGCTCAGCCATGTTTCGATGATGGGCAACAGGAAGAATCATACAATGGTACGAATTAATTGCTCCTTTTGCTATAGCCAAATAACAGAGTTTCCCTATGGAACCGACTAGATGCTTTGCGATCTTCGGGCTGGCCAAACAGAACCAACAATCATCCTGTGAGATTTGCTGAAGTCGCGGCTTCTTCTGTGAGTCGTCTTTGTGTTCACCTTTTTGACGTTTTGTCTTCTTCGGCTCCTCGTTGTATTTGGCTTTAGCATCGTAGAAGAATCCCTGAAACGCTTCCTCTTGTTCTTGTGGCAAAGCAAATGCAGGATAAGGATTCTCCGTTACGTTATCGGCCTGTTTCGATATTTCCGCATGGGTAGCATATACAATCGGCGTGATAGTGAAGGCGTAGAGATATTTCTCTTTGGAGCCTACTTGGGCGGCGGATATAAATCGGGTCGCTTGAACTGCTTTTTCGGTTAGCACCATGTGATTTCTATAAGGTACACGCTCGTAGAAAAGGTCTTTCGACGCAGTAAAATGATAGCGCGGCTTGATAAAATACGCGATTTGAGCTATACCTATGCTTCCGGCAACTTTCGATGCAATCGGATTCGATCCAGCATACTTGGTGATGCCAGCAGGCCAATCGGCTGTAAGTAGAATATCGACGTTGGTCTGACTATCCACTAATGGCCGAAGAAATTTGTGTACATCATGAAGACTATACGTGTAATTTGCAGTTTTGACAGAGCCGCAGTCCGTGCCAGAGAAGTACGCCACTCTTAAACCGGTCGCCATTGTAATAATACCTTGCTTTCCCATGTAAACAATATTAGGGCAGAGCTCCCCACCTTCGTCGACGCCCTCGTAAAACTTACTAAGATTTTCCGATTTCGGCCCCAGAATGTATGTCATTATCGGTACGGTTTTGGCTCCTGAAGTGTAACTTTCCCAAACAGCCAAAATGTCTGCGAAAGGCGAGAAGAATTCGCCTACAACAAAAAGACTGTCGAAAACCTGTCCTTTAGCTTGAATACTCGAAACACGTTTGTATAGGTGGTCAATTTTTCCATTGACATCTCCACAAACGAGGATTTTTTTTGCTTTGCTCGACATTTGTTTCACTCGAGTTTATAGCTTTTAGTTAACAAGAACATACATCAAATGATTTCCGTGCGCACAAAACCCTTCATTTCTACATGTCTTACTCGATCTAATAACATTTACACAGTTTTATATTTGATTTTTCATTTCGTTTATAGCTATATGTGTAAAGACAAATCAAATGCACCAAACGAGAAAAAACATCCTATTTAAGCAATAAATTCGTCTCGATATTTGAAACCGTCGAGGGCCGGTTCTACTTGGTCAGCTGCTGAATACCTTATCCTCTAAATTGGCTGTACGACAAATCACGATAGTTTGATGCAGAAGTCAGGCCGCTGAGGTTTATTGCTTTACGCATGGTTTCATCTCGATGATAACGATTTAAAAAAAAATTACCAAATTATTACCTACTATTTATTATGTAAAATGTTTCTCACGACCAATTTCTTTTTTAAAATAATCAAGATTTGGAACTTAGCGCGATGTGGCCCGCTAACAATGTTTACAAACAACTAGCGCTCTTCTACTCAGTCTACATACCGTTCTGGAACATGAGTTTACAAAAAGAAGAGTTGGCATTATTTTCCGCGTCATGCGGATATTACACGTTCTGTAAATGCGGTCTCTAATCAATTCGATGTAATTACAAGCAACTTGCGTTACTGCTTCTAAGTGACTGTGGAACATGCTTTAGAGTTCCAGCACGTATTGAACTGGAATAAGAAGTAAAGATGCTGGGAACGATAGGGTCGACTCCGATTCGAGTGAGCTTCACGGAGTCCTGGCAAGACGGCGAGCAGGACGCAAATTCAGCGCTAACCGAACTAGATAAAGGTAGCATATTTGTACACACCTGTCATATATATGTACTATACGAATTATGGTTTATCTATCGTTGACAAAAAACCGTTTTGAGTGTTATACAAATTTTCTCAAAATTTCTAAACAAAAAAAATGTATAGAAGAGAGACAAATTTATTAAATTGTAGGAGATAGAAAATTAGAAATACAATTGTTAAAACAAATAATTAAATAATTTAATATAATAATATTTAGATAATGAAATATCATAAAGGAAACATTTAAATATCGTCATCGTTTGTCATTGATCCATATGAAGCACAATGGGATTAAAATCATTAATTCACGCATGAGATTAAATATATTAAATCTTATTTGCGAGCTATTCGAATGGAACAAAAAGCAACGTATCGGTTAGCCTACTTGTACTAAGGTTACCGCGAAATACTGGCACCTCACCACAAGGCAAATATATGTTCTAACAAACAGAGAGCAGTACGGACAAATACCTTAGCCAATGGATCATTATGGTTTACGACAAAAGCAGTTAAGTGGCATTTTGATTAGCTATTGCATTTTTGCCTATTATTTATTGTACCCCAAAATTTACCTTGCAGGTTTGCGTTCGGGGCGTCAAGGCGAACAGTGCGAAACTATTGTTCGCTTTCCACGTCTGTTCGAGAAATATCCATTTCCTATTCTGATCAACTCAGCCTGCCTGAAATTGGCCGAAGTCTTTCGAGGAAACCAGTAAGTCTAGACAAAAAACAGGCGCATGTAAAATTCGCACTTAAATTGTTAAAGCTTTATCTCGGTATGTGGCGTCGTGCAGACCACTGACGTCTCCAGTGATGTTTTTTATGTATTATATATATATATATACGCTGCAATCTATCTTAGTTCTCTTTAGTACGTGAATCACGTCTTTCAAAAAACTAAATTGAGTTTGACTATGCAAGTGACTATAGTGAAGTGTGATCGTGAAAAAATTCAGATTCGACAGAAAGAAAGTAACTTGAAAGATGATTTTTTTTACTGAATTGGTTTTTTTAGTTTAATTGAATAGCGGATGGATTCTGCAAATATAAGCGCGGAGAATTTTAAATATGTTCTTATTTAGAATAGAGAATCTCATCATTGAAATTTCTTCTGTCACGTTTTTTAGGAGCAACTTCTTGCGTCTGCTCATCCTTCGGGTAATGCAAGAAAGCGAGAAGCACCTGGACAAAATTCTCTCCGTGGATGAGTTTGTGCGACGAATTTTCATTGTGATGTATTCGAATGATCCGGTTGCTCGAGCCCTTACTCTCCGTACCTTGGGTAGCATTGCTTGTGTCGTTAAAGATCGCAGCAATGTACATCATTCCATCAGGTATTACTACTATTATTATTGTCGTATCGTAAAATTTCGCTACTTCCCCTTTTTCACACAGGTTAAAGGACTGAGGACTATACATTAACGCGCAGTTCATACTCAAGGTATTGAATGTATTGGCAGAATCATTACCCAGAGTTTCTGTTTATTCTATTTGTTGCTTACAGGTCAAGCCTCGAATCGAATGACACTGTCGAACTCGAAGCAGCAATTTACGCCTGCTCTCGTTTGTCCGCCGTATCTCATCAGTTTGCGAGTTCCATCTGCCCCATTGTCGCCCATATGATGAAGGACTTATCAACTCCGGTTGATATTAAACTCAAGCTGTTGTCGGTGTTTTCGAACATGACGCACGATGCTCAGACAGCGAATCAGGTCTAGCAGCACAGTAAAGTAGGCCTTCTAAGCTAAAAAATATCTATATTTGTTTAAAAAAATACTCCTTTGATGATATACTGGAAAAGATCGGCTAAATTCAGATAAAAACGTTTAAGTACTTTAAAGATTATATACCCAAATTATAGTCGGTTGCAAAATTATTTTCAAATAACGAATTACGGTACATTGGAAGAACTTGTTGTTTTCAGTTCCGCTAAAGATAATCTTGTTCCTACTCATCTCGTTCCCATTCCACAACAGGTCCGCGAACTTTGCCTTTCATTATTGCCCACCCATCCAGCGCAGGACTTCGTGGTGGAAATTCTGGCCGTCCTGACTAAGCTGGCCGCATCATCTATCTCACATATCACGTCGCAGATCCATCTGCTGCTGGAACATCTTGAAAGCGATCCTCGAGCAGCTGTTCGAAGGCAAGCTCTTAGCGACCTAAGGTTTCTTGCCGAAGAAGAACGCTGGGCTCATCTGTGGCACAAGGAGCACATGGACCGTTTGGTAACTGCTGACATTTCTCTTATTAATATTATAAAATTGTCTATTAAATTGTACTTAATGAGCACATAATTAAACAGAGTAAGAATATATTAGTGCCGCGCAAAAAATGACGCTCATTTCTTCATAGGTGCTCAGCTGATTAATATACTCTGAGTCCGACGCTCGAAGCAGTAGTCAGACATTGCGTCAAATTCAGCTGGTTATGAATCGTTTGTGCAGCCTGAAAATTTTTATCGTAACAAGTTTACACAATGCAAAGGGTATTAAAAAGACGAGTAAAAAATAACGGGTTTCGTGTAAATGACACACACCGCAATATATATTAGCTTGCTCCTTTTATCTTCACTTATGCTTATAGGTGAGCTATGCGCTATCAAGCCCATACATGGGCCTTAAATGTCAGGCCATACGAGTTATCGTTTTGTTGACGAAGTCACTCGCAGTCCACCGAATCGATCTGTCCCCTTCGTCAGACATTCTGCACCTTTGCACGCAAACCATCTACCACGAGGATGTTCGGCTAGCTGCAGTGTCCGTGGAGCTCATAACTCAGTTAGCAGTGCATATTTGCAAAGGTTAGTGTAGAAAAAAGGTAATTGAGCTAATCAACCTCGTCAAGCGTGACATCGAACATAGGTGAGATATATGGCAAATTGACATTTTGAAAGCAATTGTCAAGCGCGGTTCCGTGAACAAAGTGTATGGGTAAAACACGTTATTTCTTGACTTACGAAAATTTATTCAGTACAATATTCTTTTGGCATTTAATGGTAGCTCTGTAAATGTTTTAGTTTTAAGCTGGAATGTTTTTAATTATTAGATTTTCACACATTGAAGATACGCTTAGATAATGTGCTGTTCTGTCATAAAATTTTGCAGAAAAGATGGCGCATGTGGATCTGATGCGTGACACATGTTCAGCTATTGAAACCCTTCTCTTCCTCGTGAGCTCTTCGGGACCATCGGTTGCTTTAACGCTGGCGCTACGCTGCGTTCTTGACCTGTGTCGCGTCGACGCAGCTCTGTGTTCGCATTTCGTTGATGTATTGGCCCTCTTCCTTCCCAACGAAGCGATCTGCCAAACGCTGGCCGCTATCGGAGCTGAACGCCGAGTCCTGGCTCATCTTGAACCTAAGATACGGCAATGGCTGCCTCAGCGACCGCTTATCCTTTGGACACTTCTACTGCAAGCCAGTCTTGAGGGGCCTGCTGGCCAGTTGATATTTCCTCCAGAGTTAATGACTCACGTTGGTCCATGGGACCTGTACCGTCTAGCTAGACAAGCAGCTCACTATGGACAGCATCGCGCTGTTCGCAGGTTGGTCGAGAACCTTGAAACAGCTGTGAGTTCAGAGCATCTCTATCATTGGCTTGTGGCCATTAAGAAACTGGCATTGGCCGAGGAAACTCGGGAGACATGTCATTATGAAACAGCAGTATCTGCACTTAAAGGTATGCGCATCGAACCTGTTAGTAAGAAACGCTTTCATGGCATGTCTCTTAATATGTTCATTTTAGTTAGACCATTATACCAGATTAGCTCTATTGTTTATCAGCTTAATCTGTCCCGTAAGATGGGCCATTTATTTTTCTTTTGATCTGTTTTATTACGACAAAAAAAATACATTCTGCTCCTAGTTATGTCATTAGAGGGTAACCATCAACGACAGCAGCTCACGTATCAGTATCATATTAAAAAAAAAACACCTCTTTGAAGAGTTAGATGAAAACTATGCTTTAGGCTGTTATTATGAGTGCGTAACAATGATCTATAACGTCGTATATATATGCTATTATTAACGTCGAGTTTGGCTACACAGCTGCAACAACACCTCAGCATAGTCTTCAGTTTCAAGTGGAATATGTTCGACTACGTGCACAGATGATCTCGTTAAGTCAACAGCTAGTTCACGCTGCAGGCTGCTTGCGCACGTGTCCTCCACCTGCTATTGCAGCTTCGCTAGCGGCACAGACCCGAGATGATAACCTCAAATGTGGCCGGTAAGTGATCTAGGCCTTTTCTGTTGAAATACAATATGCCTTTGTCGAAAAAAAAATCCAAACCATGCTTCGTTAGATTTGGGTTGTTTCAGTTTGGAATGAAGGTGTCTATAGAGAGAACACAATATTAGGAATGCTTCCTTTCGCTGTCATCTATAAAAATAATTGGCTGCGTGGCACAAATATGCGGCAATTCTATTACGTGCATGATTAATTTTGTCTCGTGCGCGACCCTTCTCCTATCCAAGAATTTTGGATTTTGACTAGATTGTTAATAAGTATTAATTCTACTCATTGGGAACGTAATCTTGTCTCGTAAACGCAAGTGGTGCGATTCCAAAGGCTACTTATTCTATTTTTTCTATATCGAAAGGATAGCCAAATATTTGTAAATCCAAGAGACTCAATTTGTTTTGATTTGTGTCGCCTTTTCTGTAGTGTTGTGAGTCAGCTAAGGAAAAGTGCGCGCGACTGGCGGGCCTTAAGCGATCAGTGGGCCGCCTTGTTCGAGAGCAGTTTCGACGCTGATGAGCAAAGTTTACGGCACCTCCGCGTGATGCAGCACAAGTGCCAGCTGATTGCTCAAGCTGCCGAGAAGGTCTCCCAGTACAATCAGGGTATCAGGTGAGGTACCATTACTACATACTGATATCCAACGCTTACCTTGTATTACTGTTATATAGAGAAGCGTTTTAATAGATCGTTGAGAAATAATTATACCATCCGATATAATCCGTGCGTGAAGAAAAATGATCATTCTTCTTCCAACCTACCTTTAAGGTTGACCTTTCCAATAATAATAATAATAGTAATGATCACAATGCGACAAGAATCGTTTTAAAGCAAATGCTACCATTTTGAAATGGGCTATTAAGACCATAAAATACTTCAACGGACATATATAAGTAATATTAGCATTAACGCCACTAAACTCTATATTTTATTATGCCTTTCTCGAAACTAAATTACAGTTGTGTGCTCTATGTAATAAGAAAGGATTACGCTAACGTTCAACGGATATTCCTTTTTTATAGACAGTACGGCACTCTCATCTTAATCATTGTTATTATGTTCCGTATGCGAGGTTCACCCCTTCATGGGACAAAGAATTTAACATCGAAATAAGTAAACTGTTACATATATTTCATTAGCGCAGTCCCTGCACAACGTTATGTTAATGATCTAAATTTTCGTCTTATCTTCATTTTACGTTATTTGCAGAGCCCAAGTCAGCATGGTTGAACCTTGGAGCGGCGATGCTGCAAATAATCCTTGCTCAAGTTCGTTTCGCGACTTCGAGGCAAAACAGAAGGCAGTATCACTCTATCGCGAACTCGTTGACGCTGGAGAAGGCCTCACTACGACAAAGGTAAACTGAAGTTCAACGTGTGTTGTCGACGTTTTATTTTGAGAACCGTTTAGCCCACAAAGTAATTGATATTCTACATCAAAATTTCGCAGTTTTACAGTATTGGTATTACTGCAATATACCAATGGTTAAGTATAATACGTAATTATGTGCAAAGGTTACATCGGTTCTAATCATGAGAGTAATAAACCATGTTAAATCGAAAAAAAGTGACAGTAAAATTGCCGTAAGTAAGTCTTTGACGTTTCATGTGATATTCGAAGATACTATATCGAGAAGCCGGGAGTTCGCCATTTTGAAAAGCGGAATTCAAAATACGCTCTATGTTGATTTTGGTGTAGCGATGATTGTAAGGGCAACAAGGCAGGGAATAAAGTGCAGTTTTGTTCTTGAAGCTATAAATAATAAAATAGATGCATATACTTAAATATTCAACTCTGTATTTATATAGTAATTTTCACAAAGTGTTTTTCCTGCGAGGATCATGTCAGGTTATTATACTTTTCGTGTACTCTGTTCCAAAGGTTAGTACTCTTGTGGAAATTTCCCAGTTCCTCGTGGGCGTGCCGCTGCATCTGCCGCGGTTCTTTTTTCAGCGACTTCAGAAAACCACTCTCCAGCTGGCGGTTAGCCCACAACAGACAAATCCGAATGAGCCGGTAAGTAAAAGGTGAATGAAGACCATTGGATTTAAGTATCTCTATGCTGTTTTAGATTGTAGCCGTTTTCATCCTAGTGTATATCCAGTTTAAGATGATATATGTTACTTTTTTGGCTCATATAGTTAAAATAACAAAAAAAAAACTCATGTATGAGTTCATTTAACATATATTATTGATGGTTTTCGTAGTTTCTCAACTGCTATCGTAGATTAATAAATAAAAGTAGATAATCATAACATAGGTAAAATGAAAACTTCAGCTTGTGTCATTTTCAGAGCAACTGGCCAAAAAGTTACCCCAGAATGATTTTGATCGTAGTCGAATATATATGTACTTCTTGAATAAATGTACTGTCTAGCTACAATGAATTTGTGCTACGCTATTAATAACAAGCATCTGAATTTCCCTCTTTAATAATTCGCCTGTTAGCCAGAGATGGTACGACAGTGAGTAAAGTTATACGATTGTATGTGTACTCAGGTGTTTATCGCAGGCTCTCAGCTGTCACTTAAAGTTGAGGGAGTTGTACAACAAAGCGCTAACGCTCATCGTAAAGTTCGCCGCGTACGACTCAAGGTCGCTGCGGGGGAGCCGGCATTGCTCTGCCTTGAAGAGGTTGCCCGACCCAGAAACGATTACTTTTCAGCCGAGTTTCTTGTTTCTCTACCGACAGCAGGTAATGGGTTTGAATAATACCAAAAAGTTGATTGGTTTCGATTTAGTTCATACAAGGGGAAACGTTTGGTAGTACTTGTCATTAATAATGAATTACAGCTCAACGAAGCAAGTTTGTGCGGTACTTAATCGCAGGCTTAAAATCGTTTTGTCGAATCGAAATTATTAAAGAGGGTTCTTTGTTAAAATTCATGACATGCATAAACCGGCGTGCCGTAGTCAGTCTGCTGAAATTTCTTGCTGAGACGTGTTAATTAGGTACCGTTATTAAGTGGTTATTTATGAGGTGATTAGTATATAACAAGACCTTAGTTGGTTTTCGGTGCGATTGATTGATTCTTGCGCGACAGAGAGAATCTAGAATCGTACGTCGTAAAAGGGTAATAATTTCGTTAGAATAGGTACACTATATATCGAACTTAACACAATCGAGCGAGGTGCTAACTGTTTCTATCTGTACAGGTAAGACATAGCTCATTGCCATGAAGTATTTGTGCCAGTATGTCATTTGTTTCTGCGAATCTGTTGTCCAGGTGTTTACTATATACAAATTGATACAGCTGTATTGGATGAAGACCAAAACGTTTGGACAACAGGGCCTCGTGAAGGATTTATGGCGAAAACCCAGGAAGATTCGTCGGCCAAGCGGATGTACCTTCCACGAACTTAAAATCTCAGCAAATTTTCGATACTGAATAGACTACATATAAAAATAGTCGTGTGGCTTGTAATACATAATTCAATTTCAGAAATACGTGTATAGTCGTCTAATAATAACACTTTTCAAAAAAGGTCAACTTCTTTATTTCGTTTCGTGTTATATTATTAGTTAATTGATGAAGTGGAACACAGTTAAGATTAATCGCTCTTAGAGTTCGCGAGAGCTTTGGACCGACGTCTCAGCGTTTGCCTCAGATTGGATTCTGTATACAGACAATATTGAATAGAATATAATAAAATAATCTAGGAATCAGCACATGCCAGTTCCGATTTAGACCTGAAGGACCTTCTACCGTAAATTAAATCACCAACCTTTGTTTATTCTGTCGCGCGTAAAGTATATAACGTGCAATCTCCCCTCGACGCTCTGAGAAAAGCTCGCTCTCAGAATTAACCGACAAATAGTTTATACCAGTGTGAACAGGCAGTTAGTGTTTGATAGTAACAAGTTCAATCACCGTTCTTTAGAATACGTGGCTACTAGCAGTAATTGACCAGCCACCATTCTATACACGTCCGTCCGATTGGCGAACTGGACGCTGAATTTCGTTTGTCCGAGGTTCTTGACAATGGCTGGCGTTACATCAAGACTAGACGGCCTGAGGAATGGTTTGTCGTTCCCGAAGGGCGAGGCCTGTTGCCTAAATAAGCACTGCATTGTGACAATTGTGCTCATCTCAAACTTGAGACTGAGCCGAGCTAATCGCTGCCAAAGGCCTGAATAAAGTTCAGGTACATTGGGAATAGAATATCGATCGTGCCAGTAAAAAGATGAAAGGCTATCAATTACGACCAGAGCAACAGGCTCTGTACTTAGCAGCTGCGGAAGACGAAAACCGACGAAAACTTGCAATTCCGTCAATGTTCCGCACTTTTGAATCGTGAGACGATACAGCATTGACTTAAAGTGACTTGGCGAAAGGTTACGGGCCCTAAAAGTCGATACAATAGTAAATCATAAAGAACATTAATGCAGGCTTGTCCGATAACAAATTTCTAGGCGAAAAGGTGCATGCCTAATCGAAATTGTAGATATATCAAGCTGAGAAGGAATAGAAAAAAATAACAAGGTAATCTGTGTGTATGAAAAAATATGCTAGTCAATTTTTTGTATTAATAAGAGAAAATATTAGGCACACTATTTTTCAAGAGAAAGCTCAATAAACTTAATGAATATCCTTAGAAAACTCTGTAGAAGTCTCTATACATAACTGATACTTAAAATGAAGTTTTCTAAAATTCTGCCCAGCAAAAGCTTAGTCATATTTAATTACAGATGAAAAAAAAATCATGTGGTCCCTACTTGCACAGATCCTTAATTTTTTGTAAAAGGCCAAGTGTGTCCAGACGATAGTCACAGTCGACAATAACAGCGGAGTAACCTCTCAGGAGGCAGGATATAACCATATCCTGGCTCACAACGCTTTTTCCGCTGTTCGTTGGTCCAGATAGTTCGTAAAGCTTTCCAGGAAGTAGCTCACAAACACTATTGCATTCTACCGGTTCCTACAAAATAAATAGGCATTAATGGATATACGAAACTTAATAGCCTAAAGCTTACAAAGCATACGGACATTTACTCAACATAAAGTAGGACATGTTTCCCTTCAAAAAGAAAATTTCCTTGAGTGTGTACCTGCTTCTCGTGGAGAAGAACACCAGGGCCACTGGAGGCAAATACTCATGAGATGTCTTGTTTATTTTAATAATGCTCTAGCTTTGTTCATCCTTACTTCATATGTCTTAGTCAAACTTATCTTGCCAATTCGCTTTCCAAGGTCCCTAGGATTGTTCAGTTCCACTCATAAAACTGCTAAACGAGTTGAAAACAATTGAACATGAGTATTTAATCCAATAGGTGTAGTATATAATCTGGTAAATAAAACTTAGTGTGCTTACGACTAAAGAATGTCGATTCAGCAACGCACTGAGAACTTTTCTCCCCAACCGAATGTCCTCTATTTGACTGACCTGTTCAGGCATTACCTAAAATATCCAAACACAGTATAAGCCAATTTTAAAGTACGTGCTAATGATAAAAAACACGATAAAGTACATGTACCTTTAGTTTTTACAAAATAAAACCCTAATTAGTTCGTATACAAGGCGCATTACGCAGCTTCTTAGGAATCTTCGCAACTATTAAAGCTCAAGCGAATCTATAAAACAGAACCTTGCTTACCATAATCTACTGTCTGTATCCATCATCAGGACATGTATAAATCGGATATACAACCAACATATGATACTCCAAATAATACTTTAGTTCACATTGTAACTTGATGATAAGGCTCGAGATGCACCAATCAACGTTTCATTCTTGAACGTTAGTGAAAGTCCAACACATTATTCTCAAAATTAGTAGTATGTCTTGGCGGACAAAGTCGAGGCTGTTTTTCCAAGAGATGCATTAAACACATAAAATTAATCTATATGAATTCTATTTACAGGCATAGTTAAAGAATTATTACCCGCCAATTAAATATGTGGCTGATTACAAATCAATATAACGTAAACTATTCCTTGTGGTAAATGCATGAATATGGACTTATTATATGCTGTTGACATGTAAAAAGCTGGCATGCTTGGCAAGACTTTATGGTAGATAACTTATGGATCGTTTATGTAGAATGTAGCTCAACTAATACACCAGGTGCTTGGATATGACTGCAGCAATAAGCGACCTGTAACATACAAGATATAGTAATATAAACTCGGCTTTGCGAGCCACAAATCATACAGACATTCTAAAAACTAAAACTTGTATAGCCTTTGTCACTGAAAAGAATATGTTGATATTAGATTGCAAATTGCATGTCTCGAAAAACTTTTATGGCTTAGCTTGCTCCCTAATCGAAAATAGCAATCAATTAGCGGAAACCTGGATTTCTCCCAATCAGTACTTTGTTGTCAATGACGAGTTTTAATTCTCTACCAAGAAATCGATGAGCCCACTGAAATGGATACAGCACATAAGACACTGCTATTTCGAATGAACCTCCTACAATTTGATAAATAACAACAGTGATACCTCTACATAAAAAATATGTATAAAATATTTTAGTTGTTATGTATAACAAATTACTTTTTCTACCTATTAGTCGTTTCATTTCCACAGGATCGCTCAAAGTTATAACCTGAGAATACTGTTCATTTTATTTCACACCGAATCGCGTATCAACGGAAAACACGAGTAGTTTTTCAACATGTTTGTATGCGTAACCTTGACTCGAAGTAATTTGAACGTTAGAATACGCTTTTTCAGGAGTGGGGATAAATGTGATTCATTTATAATATTCCGCATCTAAGTCTCCTTCTTTGTTTAACCTTCCTCAACTTTTCAGCATCGCTTTACAATATTACATAACAAATGAATTAACGGCTTCGTTATTATAAAAGATGATCAGTTTTCTTCCAGCTGATATGCCCGAAGCTGATTGATGCTGGTTACTGTCGACTCGTATCGCTCTAGCAGAACATCGATTTCGGGTGATACTTTGCGTGCTTTTTGGTAGACTTCGTGCTTTTTTGTCCGAGCGGCAATTTCTTCTTGGAGGGCTTGGATGTCGCGATTGATTTGATCCTCCACAACTTTAACCGCTTCATCAAACTTGTACGAGCAAAAAATATTGTAGATGTCTCGATTAATCTTGATCAGCTTCTTGTCAAAGATCACCGAAGTGAGCGCCAGCCGATCAACTTCGGCCTGTGCTAATTTTTGACGAAGAGCCCACTGCTGGTGGCGAAGCACATCCTGAAGAAGCTGTTGACTGTTACCAACATTACTAAGAAGTCTCTTGTACTGATCTGCCAGAGCCTTCAACTTGTCGTAAAGTTCAGAATACTTTTCGGCTACAGTTTGATCAGTTACAAGATCAACCTCGGCTAGCGGCTTTAGTTCATAGGCGAGTCGCTTCTCGATTTTTGGCACAACGTGCTTGATGTAGAAGTCGTTGTCGAACGGCACCAGATCGTGAAACGAGCCCCGAATCGGGAATAACTTCAGAAGGGTAGCTGCTTTAAACGTATCCAATCGCGACCTTTCGTCGCTGCCATCCGCTACTTCGGCATCGAGTTCGAGCAACGCCCGTACAACGAAACGTCTCATCAGATTATTTCTTGTCTGAAGATGATCCTGGTCCACCTGGAATACGAGATTTCTCTTTGCATACTAAACACACGCTCATTTATAGATCAGACGCAAAAATCGGCGTAGCTTATGTAGCAGATTTATGTAAACATATGCAGTTATCAATCTCAACTACTGGCCTTGCATGGTAATGATGGATCACTAGTGATGCTACGATATGAAGAAAATTTGACATTCTTTTTCAAAGTTTGGCAATTCTGTTTTCTACTTTTTTTTTTTACATGACCTAGGAGATTAGTTGCTATTTGTTGTTTTTCACAACTTACTACTATTGATCCACGTATATCTTAAGCGCATTTTTTCTTACTCTCTGCACCGCCTGCGACGGGATCTGACGTATATCAAACGTGGTTTATTAATCAGCTTTCTTCTTGCCCAGCAAGCAAAAAGTTAATAAGAAAGTCAAGTATTAACCTTATTATATTAATACTAATAATTGGTTATTAAATATGTTTAATAACAGGTTTTATTTCCAAAAATTTACCATTCGGTATATTTTGAGTTGTGCGCAATGTTCAGCATTGTTGTTCAGCATTTAATTATAGTTGATCATCTAAAGTGGAAATTTTTTGTTACTAACAATATTGACATTTGGTAACTTGTCACTATTGTTACCGGACAAACGTTTTGAGGGCTGCAGAAAACGTTAAAGAACGTTACAGATCATTTAACGCTAAAGTCAATGAGTCTTTAATACGGCAGCACCGGACGTAATAATCGAAGCACTTACGTTTTTGATACTAAAGCTGCTTGACCAGCGAACTCTCGCTAACGTTAGCTGTACTAAAAAAGAGTATTCGATTCCACTAGAGAAATGTATACGAAATAGCTCAATTTGTCATTTTCTCGATTTAATCTAAGTGCGCAAAAACTAGACACACTATTGAGCTTACTTATTTTTTCCAAATCATTGTTAACACTATGACGAAATAAACAATTCACATGAGAACCAACATTGATCGAACATCGTGACGATGTAGTAGTAATCATAAGGCGAATAAGAAACACTGCGTAGACATCAATGATATGGTCACATATTCAACTTACGTTATCTGTCATTGCAACAGTAGCACAGAAAAACAGGCAAGAATGTACTCAGAGCAGTGCTTAATCAACGCTTCACCAGTGACAATTACTCAATACAGAGTATTGCGGTCTTCCTGTCGTTTTGCTTATCTGTCGCTTTCCAGCAGAAACCGCCAAAATCCGTTTTAAATAGACACACAGCATTTAGCAGGGTGTGTTATTGACGAAGCCAACTGGGAGGTCCCCGCACAAACGGTTCTTTCATGCTGACAATGTCAATAAAACGCTTTTGATCTCACTGGCCGCTCAGTTAGGAATATTTTCGTTTGGACCCGTCGAAAATTATCCTGTGAGTTGTAACTGTTGTTGCGAAATTTTAAAGCTTAACAAAAACAACGGAAAGACAATATTAAAAGACGGAAACTATCGCTAGCAAAGACACCGCCGTCGCTGGCGTGCGACATCAGCTCGTTGGTGCGGCGAACCAATTCTCGTATGTTTGTTCATTTGTGAGCAAGATGGCGAGTGAATCGCTGAAGCAGTGCGGGCAGCCGCATTTGGCTAAGCAGGATCTAGCTACATTGGTACGAAGTTCGTTCAGTTCTCACACCACAGTGGAGCTCAGCTTCACTAGTTATCGGTGAAGTCTGGCGAAAGTGTGCGATATAGTTTGCCCACAATCACTATTTACTGGATGCCGGGCCAAACACATGGTTCCAGCACACAGACCCCTAACAAAACTGGCAGTGTGTTCCATATTGGCGGTACTTGGAAAATCGGTTGATCTCTATTCGTTTGGATAAAAGTTACTGGTTGTAACGGTCCATTGAGCTTTATCTAAGCTGCTTGATGCATCTTAGTCTTCATAAGTTTCTGAATAAATGGAGCCACGCAAAATGCCTGCCGCATACGCAAAAACACGCCAAATCGTGAACAATTTATGCCCAGAGATTGTCACGGTGACTGGCATGTGGAGACACGAAGCTCTGCGAGTGTGACTGTCGAATCGCATTTTTTAGCTTTGTCTACTATACAGTATGAACTGTATCTCTCGTACAAATAAAGAAACGGTATTTTATAACGTATAGTTCCCTATGGACGCGTATCTTCCCTATGAACAATAAAGTAACTTTTTTTTACTGACACAGGTTGTGTCATTGGCAGAACTTGAAGCAGCAATCCCGAGTCTTTTTAGACCAATGTCCAATAGTTATATAATTTTTGACGTCGATCTTTTTATTCTTGCTATGATGCGTGTTTCTCTATAGGATATCAGCAAACTCGATGCTTTCACACATGAGGTTATTAGTAGACAGGCTACCATCAATATTGGTAAGTATGGAATGCATTTTTTAATGAATTAGCTACTTTTTTTATAGTTGTCACGGTACTGCTGAGTTTCGTTGCTTTGTAATCCTCGATTTCCATGTTGTCGTCTCTATGTTATCTGGTGGGGGACAAATTGGGATAGGAAGCTAGATATCTCAGTCATACGTTATATTCGCTATATTATAATTGTTATACTGACCTATTAGTATAAAAAATACTCACAAATTACCACAAGATTATTTATATTTCTGAATTGTTACAATTGGATGATGAATACATTATCGTAAATACGTTGTAACGTTAAATTGAATTGAAATAATTTTAGCGGTTGAGAAATACAAGGCTGTGTATAAGAGTTCAATTTTAAAATTAGAAGTCGAAAAGGAGCTATTACTTATTTGTGTACTTGTTAATGAAGTTCATTGTGACAGTAATAACTAAGTTTAGCAAGGAACTAATATTTTGAATTTATATGTTTGGGTTAGGATATTACTACTTATGAACGAAAGGAATTGTGCCTGATCGTTTTAAAATCACATTACCCTATTCTGAAACTTGTCTCTCTCGTTCAATGTTCTTCAGGTACAATAGGTCATGTGGCCCATGGCAAGTCGACAGTGGTTAAAGCAATTTCCGGTGTTCAAACTGTTCGATTTAAAAATGAGCTGGAACGGAACATTACCATCAAGCTGGGCTATGCCAACGCAAAGGTGTACGAGTGCGACGAGCCTAAGTGCCCTCGACCGGGACGTTTCAGGTGAGCTAATCATATTATGAACTTCACTTCAGGCCGCTTTCGCAGTGAAGAACTGGAATAACAATTTGAACTATGTTGTGACATTTCTGAATCAAATAATTATCTTTTTATATAAATTACTACTGAAATAATAATAATAAATCTTTACCGAAATGATTTAATATATTCACCATTATTCCTTTTAGCGCTCCTATCTTCTGTAAGCACGAAAATCCGCAATTATCCAATGAGTTCCCTTGAATTCCTCATAGCTACCTAATATTAGCAGTCTTATTGTAATGTTAGCAGAATGGTTTTCGAAGCGAAGTTTCTTAATTTTTCTCGTATGGTATCTACAGGTCCTATGGCAGTGGCAAGGAGGATGATTTTCCTTGCGATCGGACAGGCTGTAACGGTCGGATGAAGCTAAAAAGGCACGTATCTTTTGTCGATTGTCCTGGTCACGATATCCTGATGGCCACTATGCTTAACGGTGCCGCCGTCATGGATGCTGCGCTGTTATTGATCGCTGGCAATGAAAGTTGTCCGCAACCGCAAACCTCGGAACATTTGGCGGCAATCGAAATTATGCAACTGAAGCATATTCTTATCCTGCAAAACAAGATAGATCTCGTCAAGGAGACACAAGCGAAAGAGCAATATACGCAGATTATTAAGTTCCTTGAAGGGACCGTCGCCGAGGGCGCTCCAATTATTCCGATTTCCGCCCAGCTCAAATATAACATTGAGGTTATCTGCGAGTACATCATAAAGAAGATCCCGAAGCCTCTGCGAGATTTTACGTCCGAGCCGCGTTTGATTGTTATTCGATCGTTCGACGTGAATAAGCCTGGCTGTGATGTCGATGATCTGAAGGGCGGCGTCGCTGGTGGCTCGATCCTTCGAGGTGTGTTGCGTGTCGGCCAGGAAATCGAGGTACGACCTGGAATCGTGTCGAAGGATGCAGAGGGCAAGCTTATGTGCAAGCCAATCTTCAGTAAAGTTCTGTCGTTGTGCACAGAACAAAACGACCTGATGTATGCGGTACCCGGTGGACTCATAGGTAAGTTGTTATTGACGTCTGAACAGAGAAGTAGATAACTCTGCCTGTAAGCGATAATTTGTAGCGAGATTGTAATAAGATAAATTTTTGTTTGGTAGTACTTATTTCCAAATAAGCGTGGCAAGGACAGGCTGTAAAATGAAGCCTTAAGACCTTAAAATATCCGGAAAAATATGTTGCATTTGTCAAACTTGTCCAAATATATGATTTTTCTATATGCAATGTGTACTAATGGACCCTGGCCAGTTGTATACCAGTTGTATAATCTAACCTTCTGACTGTTGATCTTCATCGTTTGCAGGTGTGGGAACAAAGATCGATCCAACGCTGTCTCGTGCCGATCGTATGGTCGGTCAGGTTCTTGGCTCGGTAGGCGCTTTGCCGTCAATCTACAGTGAACTCGAGATTGCCTTCTACCTAATGAGGCGTTTGCTCGGTGTGAGAACCGAGGGTGAGAAAAAGGGAACGAAAGTACAGAAGCTTTCAAAGGGTGAGGTACTTATGGTTAACATCGGGTCGCTATCGACCGGCGGTCGTGTCATCGCTGTGAAGAACGATCTCGCGAAAATTTCACTCACGGCACCTGTCTGCACCGAAGTTGGTGAGAAAATCGCCCTATCTCGACGAGTTGAGAAGCATTGGCGTCTCATTGGATGGGGCCAGATTAAGCGGGGTGTAACGATCAATCCGGTAGCCAGAAGTTGAACTAATTGGGTATTAAATTCATGCGGCGTCTAGGCTCGTGTGTTCGAATAAAGTTCATTTACATCTTGCATCTCGAATTTTGGACTGAAGGGCGAAAACCGGGAAAACCAAAAAGCATAATGGGATGTAACCGCTAACGTATGAAAAAATCAATTATTAAATGATGACCGGATTAGAAGAATAATGTATGACGTGTAACAGCTAACAACAATCACTAGAAGCTGCAGCAACACATACGATAACGAGAACAAACTGATCGTACGCTAGCGATAAAACGGCCGTAAATCATTCGAAGACTACTGGAACAATGATAACGCCATTAATAACTAAAGGATGTTTTGTTAGAAACGCCTGACTTGACCAGTTTGATTCGACCATTTTCTTATGGTCAGACAAATATGGGATTGGACCGATTCACAGTTTGTGTAAAACTGTATAGTAGGACGGGCGCCACGGAGGTGCGACTTCGGGACCGCTGACGATACAATTGAGTGATAACCTCATCTAGTCGGTGTAAGGGAAGTCGCCAAACTTTTAACTAGCAGCACTCGGCCAAGCTGCAGCGACAGTGGATGGCATACAATTTTGTTTGTCAAGAGAAGAAAGGAAATACATTAAAATTAAATGTTTGAGAAATGAAAAAAACTGATAAGCAGTTACTTGCACACACATATACACAGATATATACATAGAGATTTAATTGCGCATACACATACCAGCGACGATTCTTTGCATTATTATTAGTTACTAATGGAATTGAATCAATAACAACAACAAAAGAGAGGAAAAGCAAGCAACAATTGATGTAAAATGTTAAGTAGCTAAATAAAAGGCTGCCGACAGCGAGCCAGCACCGAGTGATTGAAAATCTTTCTAAAAGAAATTGGTTCTCTTTTCTGTTTATTTTTTAAGTTCTTGCTACTCGTCTTAGATAAGAGTTCTATAGCTGGTAAATAATCGGCCTAGCAGTCGAAATTGCGTCGTGAAATAATCAACAAATGAATAGCAATAACCAGTAAATATCATTTCCGACCTCAGGCGCTTAACTGTTGCCATGATCTGAATGCATGCATCTCCTAGCGTGTAATATAACCAGCTTGTATCATAGATGCCTTTATATTTGTAGAAATCTAATTGTATTGTATAAACTTGAATTTTAATAATGGCTTTCTTATTCAGATGACTAGCCTACCCGTGCACTTCTTCCGTCGGATACGGTTTATGTGTATTTTAATTGATAACATAGGCAGCGCTAGCTTCCAGCCATCATAGCATGAATAGAAGCGCGCAAGTTAACCCAGTTTCGAAACCGGAACGCCTGGCTTCGCAATCATAGTGCGTATGATGCCTGTAATGGAATACTATTTGCTATTTATAGAAACTACATGGTTGTGATGGGAACAACAGAAATCGGCAGAATCTTATCATAACTAGAACTGCTTATAATTGTACAGGTGAGAGAGTAGACAGCATGTGATACTTTTCACTATATAGAGCAAACTAGTTTTAAATTAAACGGTCCAAGCCGTTCGTACCGGACAGCGTTAGGCATTAGATCGGACGGCAAGCGAGTTAATATTAATCATTTCACAATTTAGGAAATAAAAATGAAGCCATATATATATATATATATATATATATATATATATATGCGGTGATCTGCACTGTTTCAATAAAAAATAGGCTTTTTGAAACGAGTATAACTTAACCTATTCTCGATATATTATAAGCAGATAGATGACTCATTCTCTGGCTTTTCTCGGAGTTTAGCATACCTCTAGGGCGATCTCCTTTTAGATAAATATTCTGTATTTCTATTATGTCAGCAGAAGCGGCACATGTGGATCTGTGTGATTTTCCAGACAGCTAAACTCTGCCTATTGCTCGACGATCATTGAAGCAAACACCATACACTTCAGATAATTATCATTTAATGATTTTGTATTCGACGACGAACCTATAGTACCCAGCTGTTTTGTCAGCTCCACCCACGCCTTTTTATTTTATAAACCGTTTCTATAGAAGCTTTTCTTTGTAGTTATTTTGTTGGGACATACCTAACTCTATGTCAAGACGGATCTGGTCCTTGCTTGAAATGTCGTCGACACGCATGACGATACATACGAAGCATGTTGAGACTACGAGAAGCTGTTTTTTTAAACATCTGATTGGCTGACTATAAAATCTGCGCAAATCTATTGAATTTAGATCGCCGATCTCATTGAAAAACGTCAACTTAATTACCGCATGGGCATTCGCGCAATGCGAAGCGTTTAGATGGGCTGCGTTTGTAGGCACTAAGGACAAGAGCGGACCTTTTTTGTAACCGATGTAACCTGTTTTCACGAATCGTCGACGAAGTTTTTTTTACCTCAGTCGTCTTCCGTAGGTCTAGTGACATCAATTACCGCATCCAGCTTTAGTACAAAGTATGGTGGTACTGCAAGCGATAATTGAACACAATATGCACTAGTTATGCATTTAGCCGGTTGTTCTCGCAGGTTATTATAGACGCACATTGTAAATACGTCATATGAAAGTTGATAAGGTGAACTGGAAAAGAAAGACATATGGCACCTACATCAGGTCGGCGTATCCCTAATGGCTGAACTGTGCCTGTCCAACAGTACAAAAGAGGTAGCTCCAATACCATGGAACAAGCACCAAGTAGGAATTTGAGCAATCTTACTGAATTTAGAGTTGAAGCCAAGAAGAGTGTGTTATTTGAAGATTTGATATTAATAATGTCCACTTAGGCAGGAAAAGTGGCGAAAGGTGTCCATTTGTTCCATAATAAATAAAGCTTTTAGTTCAAACAGGCTAACAAAGCGGGGTTACATGCAGATTTCGCAGAGCCTCGTTCAAAACTAAGTCCGGGATAAAATTTAGCCTCCGTAAATGAAGACATTGCTCTGTTTCTGATAGTTATATTTCTTCTGAAGCTGTGCACTCCCTTATCCTTAGTTTAAAAAATACGTTGAAAACGTCTATTGCGTCTCGCGTATACGTTAGGCTCTAAGCTACTCTTCAATAATGCCATATGCATTTTTTACTTTTATTAAATATATCATTAAATAAACCCTGTACATGTTCGTATCGAATCAGCCAAGCCACTCTGTCAATAGCATTTAGAATAGAAGGCTAGTACTTTAGAACGGGAGTAGCGCATGAAATTTTTTGTTTACGCAATTTATCACTGAAATATTTTATTGTGTTTTTCTTGCTGCCAACCGTACAAATGATCGAGTTGCTAAACCTGCAGTGAGCTAGTTACCTTCGCAGTGAGTTTCGGAGAGCACAGACGAATGTTTCGATACAGTCAGAGATATCGCACACGTAATCAGTGATAAATCAGTTTATTCTCAGCAATACTGCAAAAGACGAATCAGAAAGTACATTAATTCGCAAGTGACATTAATGTTAAATGATTAATGTTATCGATAGAGATATAGTGAAAATACAGCAAAATTACTGTAAAAAATAAAGGTCAACCTTGTGGCCTAATTGAATGCCATATCTATTTTCTCTTCATTTTTCTCATTTATTCTAATAAAATTGTTTAAATGTAAAGCATGATGACTTCGCGAATGAATATTAAAACAAATACTGGCATTTTATATGTAAGTGAAGAGATTGCTCAGTCGTTAAGAGATACCAAGTCGAAGGCGAACCCATGCTGACTCTACTTTTCGTACACATATTCATAGTTTAAATAAAGAAAGCGAGGTTTAGTTCAGTACAAACGATTCAACCAATTAATATACCATCTGGTATGGTGTAATGCTAACAAGTCGAAGCGATTTATCGTTTTAGCTACAGCGGGTCCACTGCTTTGATTGGCCGTATGTGCCAACACTCAAGTCCCAGATGCGTATTCTTTATATTACTTACTGAAATTTATAATATACGTATGTAGAGCCGAACGCAATGTATATTTAATTGTAGACGGCTGTATTATCTGCTTCTTTTGCAGTTCGTTATCTATTTTAAGTTGCTATCAGAGCTTTCGAGAATCGCTCATTCTGATGATAGGCTTGTGATTCAGACAATCTATCTGGTTAGATTGTTGGTGTGGGCAATTGGATGAACATGTCTAAGTTATTTACCCAACACTGTTGTCAGATATTACAGGGTTGATTTTGTTTTTGATGAAATCACTTCTCCAAGCAAATCAGTAACATTAGGTTGTGCTTAAAATAGACAGGCTGGTATTAGATATAAAGCTTGATAGTGTTAGGTCGTTAAAAATTCGAACTGAAATCTTGTCCAAAATTTTGATTTCATAGCAGAAATCGAGGTGCCGTTACTACCAAAATTATTGATCTTTACTTCCTTCCATTGCGTAGAACAAATAAACCATTACTATATAGTTATGTTAGTAAAAATCAAGCTAAATATTATCTGTTTCGAATTTACCGTGTTTGAACTGGAGTAATTTGTTCTTGACGCTACTGTCCCTAACGGCTATGCGCGCTGACATCTTACGGCATTTGTTAGCTTCTTATAGGTTAATATAATATGTAGACATCTAGAGATTCGGACCTGTAGTGAGAGGCGTCAGCTGCTTGCCTCCACTAAAGATTAATTGACGAACTCATATGAATTTCAAGTCATGAAGTGTACATGCAAGTTAGGCTTAGCAGGAACGCTAAGCTTAACTTGCATGAAAATTTCGTTGGCGTCGAAACCTTGACATTGCACAATCGTTAATCTGATGAACTGATTCTCTCTCCTTCAACCCGCCGTTCATCTGCGGCCGCTTTTTTCGATGGTTAACTTTATCAATGTTTAACCATCATACGTATGGCATAGCACACGTAAAATCTACCCGCGATTTGAAAAAGCCTATCGGACATTTAGGCTAACGTGAGCAGCAATACAAGATACTATCGCTTGCGAGTAAACGTTAGAGGCTAAAAATTGGTCCAAAAAATCTCGAACGTCAGACTACCTACCTGACAGTAGCAAAAGCTACAACTCCTCTTATCATCACGTTAACGACATATCCCCCCACTAAACATTGGTTTTTCTAACTACTATCTGATAGTACCAGGCTCTTCCCGTAACGTTTAAGACGTTTTAAATTCTCAAAAATTCCCATGGCAAAGCAGCAAGACCGAGACTATTCCTTTACTGTTTCTGGCCCTCACATTAGATGTCGCCATTGTCGTTTTTCATCGTCTCACCAGCACCAGCTGTCCTGTCTTTCTCTTTCCTAACGCAATGTAACATCCACTCACCCGCGTCGCTACGACTGCTCCCTTCCCGGTAACGGTCCATGGAGCTAAATGACGGTTGGGTTAGCTTGCGCTGAACGAGTACTTAGTGAAACGCTACTGTCCCTTCAAGACTTCGCCCTGTTTTCGCTTGAGACACTGCAACAAGCAGAAGTGTTGCTATACAAATGCTACTGGTTATCGCGTTCGTCCAGAGGCATCTCAAAAAATAAATCTAGCAACAAACCGTTTTGCTACGGGTAGTGTGCCGATCTTTGGCAAAGCACATTTAATTCACCGCTGGAGCAAGCACGACGAGTAGAGGTGTCGCAGATGGAATCTCAGATTTCGTTGCCTAAATAGATGTCTGAATCGGCGGATAGAGAGTGTCTATTTGATTGATGGTGTGACGGTGGAAATTGTACCAAATAAACGACAACCTATTGATTTGTAGGACGTGGATGAACGGGAAAACATGCACATACTATAAGTACAGTGCGAACTTTCTACTTTCTAGTAAAGTTCTAACCATAACTTTATGAACAGTTTCAAAACGAAGCTTTCGCTAATCTCAAGTGCTTCGTTAGGGTATGTGAAGTGCAACTGACGGACAAATACATGGCACATTCTGAGGATATACAGATTCAACAGAGTGTCCCATCTTGGATATAACATTGTGCTAGCAAGTGGCAACACGGTTATAGATTATGGCAAAAATGGAAAATTTTGCGTCGAACTGCATCGTGCGTAACAGGCTAAGGTAATGAGATTGAATATAGTCGTTAGAGTAACGTACTGCGTATGGCTGCGCAAGCAGAGGATGTATATATCATAGATGGCAATCCAACGTAACAACAGTGATACTAGCCCCTTAAACGTTTTTTATTACTGTGTCTATACATGACATAGCTGTTGTAATAAGCGAAGGCGTGTACCTAGGATAACGTCGCTAGATACTAGGTGATCCGAAAAATCCTGAGCTCAAGGCAAAATTAGAAACACTTCTTTAAACATATTGCTTCAATACGTTCCCTTCGAGAGGGTCAGACGCATATACGGTAAATTGTCCAGCATTTGGATACAACCAGACAGAGCCATTTGTATTTTGCAGCTTCAAGGAACGACCCAGGCCTATCAGTGAGTGTTGCTTTATTGACTTTTTCCCGATCGCTTTCAAAATTGCTAAGACATTGTTTGAGATACCCAAATCACAAGTAGTCATTCAGCAAAAACTCTTGATACAGCATGCAGATTCCAAAAAATTGGATTTAAATTCGGATAATCTAATCTTTGAAAGGAGTGTACTTCAGTTTGTTGCCGTGCCGGAAGAAGAATTCTGTGTCGCTCATCCTACGTCTCGTCTAACGAAAGAGTTTTAGGCTGCAAAAATTTCTCCTAACGCTTTGCTGCCCCGATGGCAGAGTAGTCAATCCGGGATCTCATAGTAGGCATCACAGAAAATGGTGACTGCAAAATTTCTAATCAACATTCTGCTTCTCACTGCGGTCTTTTGCTTTCTATAGATCGGGCTCGAACTCTGTCTGATTGAATTTTTGTTTTCTGCTCTCTTTATCTTTATGACACTTCCTACAGAAGAGAGCCATTCAATCGTGTGACTTCGACTTGTTCATCAGGTAGAACTCCATCTTGAATTCCGAATTTCCTTAAAAAAAAAGGCAATTTTCTCTCATCCCTCACCCTTTCCTAGCCAGAAACACCCTTTTGTTCACGCTATCAGTACGCATACGTAGCTTCCACTTGTACTCTGTCTTTTGTGAGTTCTTGCCGATGTTCTGCTGTGGCCATGTGAATATCGTTCCGAGCAGCTACTTCAGCTTCCAGGCGCAGTCGACACACATTACGTCGTAGACTTTTGGGTAAGCAACAATAAGGTCTTAAATATCCGCGGTCTACTCTTGTTCACATCATAGCATTGATGCTTCGCCACAATTATCAGGAAATCCAGCGCTTTTCATTTGGTACCAATTCGTGGCACCATATTTCATCGTTATAGTTCTATATATCGTAATAACAGCTATAATTGCATAGGGTACGCTTAGTGCGCTATTGGCTGCCGTTGCTGCTACAGTGGTTATTATGTGGGCGTAAGCATCATCGAGGCCGTCGTTACGCCTGCTCGCGCCAGCCTTCACTGCGTACAGCGACAGTCTACCTGCGGTGGCTGGTAAAACCTTTGGGTTGAGAGATGTGTTGTGTGATCGACTCACACGGCAGAGACCTAATAGCTCTACCAGCAGTATCCCAATGCAGCGTCTATATCAGCATAGGAAGTATATCAAGTTGCTAGCCAATCGGAGTACCTGACGTGTATTTGACTGGTGAACGCAAGTCTGCTGTACTAGGTCCTCGCGTACCCAAAATGTAAGGAGGGCACAAATGCCGCCGGCAGGAGCAGGGCCGTGCTAGCTCGTACGGAGGAGGCATGTATGTATCCACTTCTGAATCGGCGGCAGGTTTTTGCCCCCAAATACTTCTATATATAGGCCATTTTGTATTTTTTTTTAATAATTTTCAAACTTTATATGTATTATCATACGGCAAAAGGAAATGACGTCGCCATTTTTCACAGCGCAGCAAAATATAACCTATTTTTTTTCACCAGTGCATGCGAGGCTTGGTTAACTAGGTCACTGCTCCTGTGTCAGAGTATGTCACCTGACTATTTATTTTGTGGCATGAGAGTATATATATACAGAAATAGTTACCATTGGGTTAAGTAACAGATGACATACAGAGGCCTGTTGTTGACATACAGAGCTACACCGGTCGAGTTAGTTATTTCAGGGTCGCGCTGGACGCTAATTAACTCATTGTAAATCTGACAAAACCGCTGTATGTAGAGTCTAAGAGTTAAGGGAAAGTGGTCTCCTTTTTCATGACCAATAGTTTTTTATACAAATCCCTTCGTTATTTACCCGAACATATGGTCGTCCGCATTAAATAAACTGTACTCCCATGTGTATCCTACTGCCAACCTTACTTAATCAGTTTGCCCTTGTTCACTATTTTGGGCAATGATCCGTGTCGTTTTGGAAGCGTCCTTTACATCCCACGGCTCATAAAATAGCCCACTTCGTTGGCCATAATAATAGAATTTAATACATTATTAAAAATGCCAATGAGTTTAAAATAGTAGTAAGAAATAAGGTGTTTATTAAGATTTGCTATTACGCTCTGAACTACTGCCACTCGTCAATTTTTATTGATAATGTTAACAATAGAATCTGCTATTGCGTATTCTGATTATATTGATGCTCTCAAATCACTGACAAGTGTAGCCAAAATGCCCTATAGACGTGCTATCATTACGACGTATTTTATACTGTACATTGTTCGACGGAACATACGGCGAAGCCTTTTCACCATCTTATTTATAGACTATCGCATGGTCGCTTTCCCTCTATGGCTGCAAACTATTAAACGCTTCAAAAATGCCTTCGTTAAACTGTTGGCAAAATATCGCTCTCTCATCACCCGTGAGATTCGAATGAGGGCCGGTGCTAACCAGAATCACTGGCGAATTACCTATTGGATTCGGTTGGGCGCTGTCGGTCAGTCGAACCCGAACCGACAGCGTTCTGTCACTATGGAGATTGCTAAGCTAAGATATACTATAGGCGGAGACAGCTCCGCTGTTGATTGGTTGGTTGGTTGGTGGTCCTTACGGGCCGAAAGCGACCCAGCTGCGACTCTGAATGCTGACTGGCAGAGCAATTGTTTCAGTATCACCATTTTGCTACAAATTGGTAACCGCAATTCGTTTCTGCTGCACGAGCGAAGGCGACAACCGGACGTTTACAATGCTGTTCGCGAACCGGCCGCTGATCTATATGAATAATAGTATTATTATTATTATTAGGAGCTGCAGTTCTACTAGTAATACGAATCGCGCGGTGGTTCCCGCTGCACTTGTTGACCGGGTTTGCAATGGCCAGTTCGAGGGCTGATAGCGAGAGCATATTTTTAACGAAATGGCGAAGAGCTGTTACTTCGTTCGATTATTGGTAGTCAATTAATCTGGCTGGTAATAAGAAAATCTGATTTTTCAATTGATACAGATTTAGCCCATGGCCAAGGTCGCAGGCTTCTTTGCGAGGTATGGTCGCTAAAGAACAGGTTTCTAACACTATTTGGCTGAATACGGCTAGTTGTCCCTGAACCGGGCCTATTCGGCTATATTTTGAGAACGTAAAAGGCGGTAATTAGTAGCTGCAAGGATTGGGAGAAATAGAAAAACACGTAAAACATACTTCAATCATCAGCAGACATGCGACCCTTACCGAAATTTATAAAATGTATGTTTGAAGCTATACTCAAAATCATGGCAGCGTACTTAGCAGCATAAGATAGCACTATTAGTGATATGAACTCAACACTCAATAGAGGTACATGAGAACATATTTCATATGATTAAACGTATCCACCATCAACTTTTTGCACTTGAATCTATTTAACTTTCAATCATTAGGTCTAGTAAGTAAAATCATATAAAGCTTATAAGAATATTAACCTTTATCATCACATGCCAGATACTTCGAGCAACACGCCACTTTTCGAGCTCTTTCATCCAACGGATTTTCCGCCTAGTGAAGAGTACCAGCCCTTTAAATCTGACTGCCACTAGTTCATTTCGGTATTATCCAGAAAGCGAAGACCGCCAACGGTCGCTGCCACTTTAGAGAACAGCAGCGATCCCCTTTGTGCGTGAATCATATAATCTCTATAAACGCTAATGGCTACGATAGCGCAATCGGCTGAATAGGAAAGCTAACGGAATTCAAGGGTCACGTTACGAGAGCTTGCCGTACGCTGTTGTTGCGTACAAAAAAGCGGAAAGATATGCCATGAATTCAATGGCTTGTTATTAATGGAAAGTGCCATGAGGAAATTTGGTGGGAAAACCGTTAGGTTCGTAAGAAGATCGTGCAGGCTGAGATTAAATTTGAGTTGAGACAAATCGAACTAGGTGTACAGAGAACGAGCGTGTCAATTGGATTCTAAAATAATGAATGAGAATGTAAGAGTCAGACAATGGATAGTGTTAAATAACGTTTATATACATCCATAACGATGTCAGGGTGTGCTTTGTGTTTAGTCACGCGTGAGGTTGATCTTAGATCTTCACCGTCGACAGTTGCTTCTGTTTCTCGCTGAATGACAAGTTAACGTCTCTTAGGAATTAGGAATGTTTAATTTTACTGGGAATGTAATATTAGTCATGCACGAAAACGATTCGGCAATCTGTGAAACCTATAAACAACATACGTGACTGTGTGGAAATGTTCAGGAATACGACTCAGGACAAACGCTCTGGTGAAGAGTCAGTTTGATCTTTTGACACCCAGCGTAGACCACATAGCCTACTAATGCATATTTGCCTTATGAGAAGAAGTACGTGCTGACCTTTCGTTTAGAAAGAAGGGGCTATCGAAATTTATCGGTGTATCCTTATCGAAATACTTAAGAGCCTGTAATTTTTTTGAGAGCGTTATGCTTGGGCTGAAAATCGTTGCTAAGCTATTTGCTGTCCTTGAGCAGGACCATTCGGGCAGCTACTGCTTGGAGTGCGAAAGAAGAAGAAAAAGCTAGGAGCTTCTAAAAGGCGTTGCTTTGGTTGATGTTCGGGTCAGACGTGCCATATCGTAAGTCGTGACAAAATACCATACTTCAAATCGACAGTAAAAATGCTGACGCGTAGGGTATCAAGAACACTCAGCTTCGAGATCTGAATTGCATATATATACATATATATATAAACGAAATAACAAAACTCTATGGAGAAGAGGTGATCCGATTCGCGTGGCGTGCCCCAGTGATCTAGCAATATCTGTCTAGGCCAAGGCTCATTGCTCCTAGTGCCGGGGCTTTTTACACGCTCGGTCATTATCATCACTCGAATGCGCTGTGCCAGCAGGTATTTCGTTAGTGCAAAATTGACTTATTTGAAAGCCATATAATCGGAAGCTTAACATAGTTTGTCCTATTATCAAAGATCCTCTGTTACTTTAACTCACTTACTTTCTGTTACTTAGTAAACACAGCAGACAGAATAATTAAACTGTCTAGTGTAAACTGATTCGAAAGTTTTTACGTATCTAATTCTCTCTATCGCATTTGTTTCAGTTAATACCGACATGTGACTGACGCTCATCATTAACCCGCAAATACGATTCAACAGCGTGTGGTGATTCAAGGAAATAATTAACTAGAGTTTCCGTTTTACAGACTCTACTCAAGTTTCTAATGTGCGTCTTGCTGCCGGCTGGCGTTTATGCAGTTTCGCGTTCAGCTTTACCGCTCTCGTGGGTTAGTGACATCGTTGTGGGGTGCGGAGCCAGACTTCTTCTTAGGTATTCACCTAAAGGATACCCAAGATGAGTGCAGCACCTATCAGTCACTTTAAAGATGCTTTTTGGGTAAGTGATATGTTGGCCTAGTCGGTAGGTGATTTCGACAACTGTTAACCTTATTCAGCTACACTTTATGTTTTATTTAAAGTTCGAACCACTTAATCTGCGGACTATTTTGGATTTTCCACTTTGACCGCTATATTCTGCCTAGGGTAATTTGTAGGGTTTTTTTGCAATTTAATGAATCACTTGATCAGACATTGCTTGTCAAGGCTGGTTTTAGCACTTCGAAGCTGAAGGTCCCCACTTAGACCACGGACCGTACCCCGGATCGCCGCATGCTGCCGGTGACGGTGGCCTATAGCCTTCTTTGTTATGTAAAGATTAGTCCCGGTCACCTCGTGAGTAGGTCATATCTCACTTACTCGCACAACTGTCACAAATCGCGTGCATGCACTAGGGTATATATTAAACGTAATAACGTGGCTTCTTTATGAACTTAGTGAAGATGCCATTGCTAACCGCATATCCATATCCATGTAATTATTCGCTCGGTAGAAGAAATCATTTCCACATAGAGCCATCAGCGGAAATGAAAAGCGACGTTCGATATCAACTTTTAGTACAATAAAGATAGTTAAGCTTCCGATAAACTATAACATGGTCATCAAAGAGCTCAATAGTACGGAAAGGTGGCGCTTTGCTATAAGCTCCAAAACGGTGACATGATGAATGGGTCTAAATAAAAAAATACCCCATATAACGATCCTTGGAGGGGCAAATAACTACGTAAGGTGACCCAGATGTGTGACAACTTCGTTTTTTTTTGTTTTGTTTTGTTTGAGGTTTTGACGAACCGGAAAGTCCTCACACAGTTTATGCAAAAAATATTTTACGCCCAACATATAGCTCAATATTATCTTTATCGTATTAGAATTGTTAGAATTGGCGTAACGAGGCCTGGAAAGCGAACGGTCGACCGCGAAGAACTTCCGAAACGGGTAATGGGTCATTAATAATCGCTTCTATGACTGTCTTTTGCATTAGCATGACGCGTAGGCCACCAGATGGTGCAGCGAAGCTGCAGAAAGCCGAATAAATTAACTTTAATAGACAAACTTAGTTACTTTAAAAAGTTAGCGCCACTTAGAGGGAGAGACGTAAGGAGAGAGGAGGGAGAGTTGAGAAACATACTTATATTCTGGCTGTAAAAAATAATATTACTTTTTACTATATGAGAGAAACTGTTTAACTACCATTTATTTTTCTGTGTGGTGAACAATGCATGCAGGTCAAGTTAATTGTCGCTACGCGATTGTGGAAACGTCGTCAGTTTACAGGAATTAATACTAAAATAGCTGCTAAGTGTCCCTTAGCATTTTGTTGACCTCTGACATAAACTCTGGTAAAGGCTTCAAGACACCGTCTCTTGAAACACAGGGCAGACCTGCATCGATCTATTCTAAGATTATGACAAACATCTGTCACAGTGATATCCTACCAGGAGTACATTAATAAGAGCCTTGTTTACGATGATAAGGTGATATATAGACAGGCGAAACTACGCTCAACTACCGACGTGAGTTCCTAGCAACGAAAACAATTAAATTTTATGAAAATATTCTCTGAATTCTTTATGTACCAAAAGTCGAAACTTACACTTTATTTTTGACAGATCAATTTTGTTTTTCTTATTAAAGTCTGTACTATTCTTTATTGCAACGGTCCATTAAGTTGGATCAAACACAGCTTCCTAGAGTTTTATTACACTGGCTCGGCACCAGAATAGGAAGGTGGAATGCAGCAATTAAATTTTGTTGGCATCAGTTCTTCAGTAACAGTTGTAGTGTCAGATTTTTTTAGGAAGTTTCTCGGGATCAAACCCATTCGAACCCACATAAAAACCGTTCTTCCTGAATTACACAACAGTACTATATTCCAGCGGAACTTCTTGAGCTATTTTATTCGAACATGCACCCGCCATATGTAACAGGCTGCCGCTATTCCGTACGTTGTTTTTGTTGGCGAAATCCCCGCGGTAGCATAGCGGCCAGGGCCCTGAATGGTCCTTCTGTATCCGTGTATAGATCCGGACAGTAAATGGCGAAACCAAAGAAAATTCAAACTGAAATCGCGACCGGACATAGGACAGGAGCTGACTGGAAGGTCGGAAACAGATGATATCATTTATTATAAGTCGATTAACATCGTGGTTCCCGTTGATGTCGCCGCTGTTGGTCTGCGGTCACAGCCTTCGTTGACAATCCTCGCCGCCGTATGCTTCTACCGGGGTTTAGCCATTGTACAAATAGCGGCGAACAGGTACCATTTCGGCTTCCGACCTTACCCGCTTCTTTCTCAATGATTTCGTTGATAGCAGTCAAATGCAGCGCCGTTGCTGACACAGGATGTGGCGTACACCCGTGCTCCCCTGTACTTACCCGTGGTCCAACGCGAAATGATTTCCTTTCAGCGATAAATCATACGGCAGCGAAGTTGACGCCGATGTTAACAACGGTAGGAGCGCACGTCTGCAAGCGGATAACGTTGTGACGCATTAGCCAGTTTCGTACGTGGTAGACAGATCATCGCTTCAGTCGCCAGCCCATAATCGTGTGCCGTCGTGGCAGATGTTGAACGTGCCGCACCTCTGCAGATCGATGTAGCTGCCCACGGTACATAGGAATTGAAAGAGAACGTGGAAGAAACGGAAACCCTTTCATCTAGCGATATGCCGGCTAGAGACGTGCTGAACAATATTAGTTTTCCGTTTTTCTTTTCTTTAGTTCTTCTTTTTTTTTTTACTTTGGTTGCACTGCCTAATATATGACGAACAGCGTCGTTTGCTGCACCTAGAATAGTAAACGACTATACGAGCTATGGCGAGATTTGTGCCGCATTGTATTATATAACTATGTTGTGTCGATGGCGTATTATGTTTACTACGTGTATCGCTATTATCTGCTGTGAGACATATCCGCATATTGGTCAACCTATTAAACATCTTTTCGCTCCGATAATTGTATACGGGTATCTGTTATATGTAGTTAGTAACGGTAATTGTTTGATACTTTTTGTACGTTTCTTTTCTCACGACCAAGATATATTGGACTTGATATCCTAGTAAGCCTCAGCGCTGCCGACGTCAGCAAATAGCTAACGGCAGCGGCGACAATCCCGCCAAGGAAAAGTGACAGCTTTGTTTGAGACAAGGTTCTCGTCTCTCCATTCCTCGCAGCGCAGTGCGACAAACCAGATATTAGACGACTCCATCTAAATGTCTCAATAGGTCCCTTTCGTGCAAAAACGCCACTGTTAATTTTTGCGTAGCCTCGGCTGTTATTGTTATCGGCGGAATGGGAATTGCCCCCGCCGCTGTCGCTGCCATCGATCGCAGATGTAAGGAGTAAAAAAGGCAGAGGCCGTTGGCAGGCAACTTTCAGCAGTAATCTGTACATGAATAGAGCAAATCGATAGGGGGTGTCCCGCCACACGGTACGCGTACACCCGGGAAAAGGGGGCGGAAACAGGATGGTAGAGAAGTGCGAATTGTATGACGATCCGTCATAAGCTGCGTATGATACGTGTTTCAACGCAAGATACAAAGCGTTCAGCCCAGTCTTTGCGTTTTGTCTAGCAACAATTAATCAGGTGACCAGCTGCACCGAAGGAGTTGGCATTCGTTCGATTGCATAAGCCGATAGCTGCATCGGCGTCTACGGTAGATCCGTCGAAGCCAAGAAATAATTTGTAGCAACAAAGAGATTTTCCTGCCCCTGCATGTGCTTCTGCTGTGAACGGCAGTTTCCTCTGATTCATACTCTGGAGGGACCAGCTGTTGGAAGTGTGATTCGTTGGCATTAGTTAGTTTAATTACAATAGTACAGGACGACAAAAAATTGCCCATTCAGATAACCCGATTCAGTTGTCGAATGGGTGATCTGTTGTCAAATCACGAACCTTTAGAGCGGTTTATTCTATTGTATTGTGCTTAACTGAAGGCTTTTATATCCAACTATATAACAAGTGCTAACATCATATGATTGTTGTGACCCGTTGATAAGTGATCGATGCCAATGCTTGCGCGATATCATTCCAGCCACGCGACGATACTGCGTATGCAGACGGATCGAAATAGTGTTACAGACAGTGGTGAAAATAATCGTTACATATGTAAATGGCATCGCATCTATCGACCGTGGTAGTCGATAACATTTAAAAGTAGCCTCATCGTGCGTTTTTCCCGTTGCCGGCTGGTCACTGCTTAAACGGACGGTATCATCACCTACCATGAAAATCAGCCTAGTCTGAGGAAGGGCCATGTTATTTAGTGCTGAATGCGTACGTATATTGCCATACGGTAACGTTTGGCGCGTCACGAACAAAGCTAAACTATACGACGTACATATGGAGACGTGTAGGCATTATGGGATGATGCAATAGTAACGTTAACTCACTTTAACGTACTCACCTACTCGGGCTGTAATGAGATAGGCTAGGTTACTAATTAACTAGACCTATAATTACTTAAATAACTTACAATTAACTAGAAAGAGTTAATTTTTCTTGGGCGGCCGTCTGACGCAGCGCCTAACGACAGTAGCACCGAAAGCAAAGCTCAAAACATTGTCATATCTCAAATTTTACGTCCAATATTATGCCCAAGTAGATGTAGGGCAACACAGGTTTTAAACTGCGTAGGGCTATGTTTGTGATTGCCGACTAAATACTATACCGATTTTTTTAACTCTCTAATGTTACGTATAACAAACACGCTAACAATAGGTAATTACAAATATAAAAAAAAAAAATTAATTGCAACATTTGGAATTCATACTACTAAGGAGTTAATGGCCCAGCAATATTTTCCTGACTTCCGCTGTATTAAAGACACTATTGGCACTATGACCATTGTGAGTGCTCACTATTTATGAGAGAGATGTCTATTATTAAAAGTTTCTCTCACAGTCGTAGAATCGACATTGTACGTATCGCTTTTGTATTGATATGATACTTTGCGTCTTAATATCGTATGTTAAACAACACTACAATCGATACTGTTTTAA